GCAGAACTCCACTGTGCTTTTGTGGGGGCAAATTGAGCAGGAGAGGCCAGTTCTGAGAGTGCCTTGGTTGAGGGTGGAGTTCCCTTCTGGCTTCAGAATTCCTTTCGGCCAGTGTGGCCAGCCAGTGGAGTCAAGCAGACGTGAGTGTGAGCCTCTATTCCCTTGATGAAGTTTACCTGATCTTACATCTTGAACATCCCCATCTTTCAAATGGAAGCAAGGAGGCTTATCCGTAGGCATTTGTGGATTAACAAGTGTTCTCAAGCTTCTCTTGTGTCACATGCAATGCACCCCAAATCTGCCTATGTGAAGGAAATTTCTTGTATGAAAACAAGGGGAATTTTGTGAAAACAGGTCTCTGAGAAACCCAAAAAGGTTTCTAGCCAGGTCCCTTCCTGCTGTGTCGCTGCATCTGGACAGCCTGCTTCTCTGGGGGCCTCAGTGCTGGTCCCCTCTCCCTCGGGGCAGATTTCTCTTTCTCATTTACTCCATCCCAGTCCAGCTGCTGCTGATCCTGAAGGGTCCTTGTCCCACTTTCCCCAATTAATTGCACGTTTTGAAAGAGTCAATAACTGATTACAATCGTGGAATGTTCATTAAAGCTCACAATAGTTGAGGACTGACAATTGCCTAGAACCTCACTCTGAGGTGGGAGCAGGGAGCAGCAGGAGTCCCCGTTTTATGGGGCTGATCACCAGCGGGGAAGCAGGGTAATGGCTGGCCAGGGTTTTACCAGATTAACAAGGACCTAATTAACTTCATAAATAACAAACAAGGGCCAGGTTAACTCAGTGAACCAGAACCAAGTTTCTGCGCATGGCCTTGGCTTTACACCACACCCTGCAAGGTCCTTAGTTAGAGCTCAGGAACCGACCGCCTGCTTCTGTTGTGTGACCTGGTTCATGTCAGTGTTAGAGGCAGAGTATTTCCATTAGTCCCTCCAGACCCACTTCTCTCTTCATCTGGTCCCTGGGGTCTGCTGATTTGAGCTCTCACCTGAGTTTCAGGTGAGTTCAGCACATCGTGGACACCAGCAGGAAACAGGAGGGCAGGAGAGTAGAATGGGCAGGTATTGTTGTTCCAGTTCCTTCCCTTGGGGGGAAGGGAGTGGGCGGCCAGGTGGCTGGCTCCTGAGCTGAAGGCACAGCAACTTTCCAGAGGCTCCCTCCTCAGAATCCTGCCCGGGCTCTCTAACTCTTCCTTTCCTGTCCCTTCAGGCTCACCGTGGTGATGGCCTACCTGTGCTGGATGTGCCGTACCATTCCTTGCTAGTTTCTCTTCATCTTGCTCCCATAACTAGTTCATTATATTCTCTCTGGTTGCTAAGTTGTAATTCAGCTTCTGTCTCTGATATCATAGTAGGAGGGAGCCAGCTGCCTTCCACTCTGGCTCCTGTAGGAAGCGGAGAAAGAGCTAGGAGCTCTTTGAGGTAAATATTATAAATTTAAGATTAAATCTTTAAATCAAAAAAGTATAAATCAGATAACCAATGCTGGTAGAAGTGAAAAATATTACATGGACACTGAGGAATGTCTAACGTAAGCAGCTCTCTGTTTTTCTTGTAGCTCACAAAAAAGAATCAGGAATATGCTACCAATTCTGTTAGATCCCTCTTTCTTTCTTCAACCACTTTCTTCTATTTCATCCATCTTGGCTCATGCTGCCCAGCTTTGGGCTTTGACTATGATGACAGCCTATGATTGATCTCTATGTGTCTCGTCTTTCTTGTCCAGTCTGTTCCACTGCTATCAAATCCACCTTGGCTTGATGTAGGCCTACTCAAGTCACATCCCAGATCAAAAGTACACCCTGGCTTCCTGTTCCCGCCATTCAAGAAAGACCAATCAGAGCAACCAAAAGAGAGAAACACATGTCTTTTGCAGCAACTTGGATGGAGCTGGAAAAGATCATGCTTAGTGAGATAAGCCAGAAAGAGAAAGAAAAATATAGGATGGTTTCACTCATAGCAGGAGTATAATGGACCAGGTGAGAAAATAACAAAAATAATGAACCACCATATATCAGAGACATTTTGTGGGGGTGGTGTGGGGAATGGGATCAAAAACGGGGGGGTTCGGAGGGAAGTGCACGGGATTATGGTGATGGCACATGGGTGACTTGGTGATGGGAAACCTGCGGGGATTACAATTGAGATGGAAAAAAAAATGTACAAGATGATGTAAAAATAAACTGTTATTAAAAAAAAAAAAGACCAATCAGAATACTCACTGGCCTGCTAATCCTTGCTCCCCCCTCTTCATCTATTTTCCAATGCACAGCCTGTATCCTGCCTCCCCCGAAGCCCTCCCTGCCAACTCAGCTGGCGTGACTTCTCCCCGGTGCCTACTGCTGGAGGAACAGCCTCCATGCTGGTTCAATCACTGGCACCAGAGGCTCCTGCCCCTTAGAGCAGCTACCCTCGTGTGGGGCTTCAGGCTCCTTTGCCTGCCAGCCCCTTTGTGGGGTTACGCTACAGCTGCTGCCACCCAACCTCTGCCCTGTGTCTGGTCCCGGGGCCCAGCATCTGATGGTGAGCACACTTCCTGGGGGCTTGCTCTCTGGCCGGTGTGCTCTGCTTCTGGTGACTGAGCCATGACCTTCCACACGGCGGGTCCGGACTTGTCTTACTTAGCGGACCAATTGCGCTGTTGCGTGCGGCTCCTGCGTCCTCTGAGCAAGCCAGCTGCTGTCTTGTACTCTGGCCATATGCTGGCTTATAAACTTCCTTTCTCAGCTCTCCCTTTTCTCACTCCTTATCAATAAATTCTGTTAATGTTTTTTTCTCCCTTTGTTTGCTTTTGAGTCCTGGCCTGAAGTCTTCACCACCCAGAACATCCCCCTTTCTACTGGGTTTGCTCCATCTCACTATCATTCAGAACAGGAAAACTGGGAGATGAGGTGACGGAAGGAGAGCTGAGTTCATACACCAATGAAAATGTCTGCCCTGGCCCACTTGGAAGTCCCTCAAGGCCACTGGAGGGACCTCACAGCGCCTCCCTGAGCAGATGTGTGGCCAACTCCCTCCTAAGGCGCTGAGGGGAGACCTGCGACGTGGTGCCATCTCTTCAGGACACTCTTACCTGTTTCCATCCTCAGCTGTCTGTCTTTACAGACAAGCCTGGGGCCCAGGCTAAGTCAAAGTCTTCCATAAGACTGGGGCCTGGGGGCCCTCCCTGGTGGCCCAATGGGTAGAAGTGCAGCACGGCAGTTAGCTGCAGCCGCTTCAGCATGAGTTCGATTGCAACATACAGGGGCTTCTATTTGGTGGTTCCTCAATTCTGCTGCCCACTAGACTCTCTTGGGATGTAATGTACAGACCATACCCAGGCTGGTTACATCAAAATCTCTGGGCAAGGAGCCCTGGAGTGACAATCTTGTCATAAGTTCTCAGGTGATTTTAGCATGCAGAGTTGAAAACCAGAATTTTCCGTTAATTTTGTTGAAATGCGGGGGCTTGATAGTACAGGCATTTCGACACTTTCCATTGTAGTTATTTGGGTGGCTGTGACTAGAGAGTCCTATGTGAGGCAGGAGGGTAAAACTGCACTGGGCTGGGAAGCCAGATGGCGAGCATGCAGGCTGTGGCACGGCCTCCCTGGTGGCGCAGGGGTTAAAGACAGCTCTCAGGCTATCAGCCAGCCAGCCACTGCAGCGTGAGTTCTATTTCCCAGCTGGCCAGGGAGCCACAAGGCATGGCAGGCCTCTCCTGTCTTGCCGCTGCTCCCCTCAGCAGTGTATTTCAGTCAATCTACCGGTTCTGCCCACTCTGTCTCTGGTGAATCCTCTTCTCCCACCACACCTCTGGCCGGTACCCCAGTTCTTGTATGCATAAAGAAATCTTTAAAAACCCATTGCTTACAAAGAGGTAAGATATTGCCACATACAGAGGCAAGCCACCAAGGACAACCAAGACCAGTGGCCGCTGTGGAGTCTCAGGGATCTAACAGACTCACAGGTCATGACATCTGTCAACCAGTAATTCTCCATTCTGTTTGTGTAAAAAATGGTAATGTACCTTGATCCATGTCAGAACTACCTGTGGCTCTTTCCAAAACCAAACATGCCCACAGAGAAGTATTTGCCATACTGAAAATATCCCAAAGAACCTGCCATGTAAAACGGCCAAGGAGGCCACCTTCGGGCTTCTGAACAGAGATAGTGACAGAGGAGCACATAGTCCTGGCAGGGGGCACAGTGACAGACTGCAGCTCACTGAGACCTTAAGCAAGCCCTGAAATGTCTGCTCACAGACCCTGCGAAGCAAGGCCACGCAGCCGCTCAGGAAACGTGCCTCCACCAGGCGGCAAGGGCAGGGGCCACCCTCACCTCCCAGTACAGCCCAGGGCCTGACTCTGTGAGCATGGCTGGCGCCCAGTCTTTATTCCAGGCTTGCTCCTTTGCTGTGAGCTCCCAAGCCTGAGTGGAGCTGAGCCAGGAACATCGGTGCTTCAGCAGAGCCTGGGCTGGGCCCACACCGCCAGTCACACGCCCCCAGTCCACCAGGTTACCTTGTGGTCTCCCTGGAGGATCCGCTCCCACAACTCATGTCTCAGTGCAAGTCAAGTAGTGAACTGGCTCTAATTTCCAGATACATATGTTAGCCTGTGGTACAGGGTCCCACCATGGCCATCTCCCTGCACCCGACCAGCTGCTCATGCGCTTCTGCACAAAGGCCCTGAGGACCCCCCTTCCCCAGGTTCTCCCAGTGAGGGCATGGAGGGGGCAAGGTCCCTTTTACCCCCAGCCCCACACCTGAGGTCTCATCAGCAGCCGTCCCACCTGGAGACACACAGCAACTTCCACTAGCTTCTACCCTCCTGGCCGTAGGGCAGAAGCTGGCTTGGGGAGAAGGGTGTGCAGGGGAAGCTGCAAGAGCTGAATGCCAGCTTCTGACAAGAACAGCAAACCAAACTTTAACTCTTGTGAGAAATCTTCAGTCCTCAGCTGTCAAATCATAAATGTAGAACCACGAGCCAAAGGGAAAAGCAGAAAACGCCGAGTTCTTTTAATTTTCTTTCTCCCAATAGCTAGTTCCATGATGTTTATTACTCAGCTGGAGTAGGAAATAACAGTAGACAAAAATAGAAACAGAGTCTGCTTTTACAGAGTCTTTGCACAAGTCCTGACTTTTCTGTTCATGCCAGGGCCCCTGCTGCTGGTGCCAGAGGTCACGGGAGGCCGGACAGCCACAGACAGAGCAGGGCCTGTGAGAGGGATACCGGCCTCAAGGCTGGATGAAAGCAGAGCCAGGAAACGATAACAACTTGTTGAAACAGTGCACTGAGCTGCGTTTCTGTATGCGTGGAGAGCTTCGGGAACCTGGAGAGACACGCCAGAAGGACACAACCACAGGGCAGCGGGGTAGCCCTTCCCTGGGCACAGAGATTGGGTGTGTCGAAGTCTGTGCCTTCCTGTGCTTGGCAGGGGAAGAGGCGTGGCTGGAGAAGCCCAGGGAACTCTGTCCACAGAGGCTGGCACGGCACGGGGAGCCAGCTATGGGCTATCGGGTCCATGTTCCTGCCCCTGGCGCCCCCAGGAATCTTGCCTGCAACCACTGGCTGTTCACAGCAGTGGGGTTTTGCCTCCCTACGCTGGAGGTGCCAGTGTTTACATTAGGGATCTCACCTCCAAGGCCTCCTGCCGGCCTCCAAGGCCAGCACCTCTAATAACTTGGGGAACGTGGTGAGCTTGCTCATGTGTTCATATCCGGAGATAAGATGTGCCGCGCCATGTACCAGGAAGGGCAGGCATGGCCTTGGTGTTATCTTAGAGGCTGCTTGAGCTCGAACAGGCCTGTCCCACCCTTGACGACCTTCCCAACCACGAGGCAGGCTGAAGGGGATCTGAGCTCATCATGAGATCCTGGAAGAGAAACAGAGTACTTGTTAGGTGGCTGAGGAAGATGTTGGGGGGTGACGGAAGGGACCAGGGGATGTCATAGTGGGGAGGGGGATGGGACACCATGGAGGCCATGAGGAGTGTCCTGAGCACCCAAGGCTGATGAGAGCATATAAGGCAGCACTGCTTCTGCCTCTGAAGGGCGCATGCCTTTCCCGTGAGCTGCCGCCCCACACCCTAATAACTCCTTCTTGCAGATTCTAAGCTCTTCTGTGCATGGAAGGCCCCTGGACATCTGTGTGCCCAAGAGATGAGCTCATTAGCCCAGGGCAGATTTTGTAGAGGCCTCGAAAGCCAAAGGCTGCTGCCCACACACACTGACCCATCAAGGTGGCCTGCTTCAGAAACTGGAAGCTGGTTTCAAACGTCATCTGTTGTAGTGGGGAGGAGTTTGACCGGATCCCAAAGCGATTCAACGGCTTGTAAACGCCCTCGAAGCACATGTAGTCAGCAACCAGGGAGAGGTGGCGGGGATCGACTGCAATGCCTGTTGGGGCGGCATATCAAGGATTAAGCAGAGAGGGGATAGTGGGGGCAGAATCACCTGGCGCAAGACAGTGCCGGGACTCCAGCGTCAGGCACCACCCCTGCTCTGCCAGAGAATCCCTCAGTTCAAGCCCTACCCTCCTCCTCCGGATGGTGGCCATCACTGCAGCCCAAGGAAACTGTTACAACAGACCTGCCAAAAAGAGAACTTAGCAGCATTGCTTTCACTTGGGAACTGAAACCCAAGGCAAGGATGGGCCAAGTTATCAGAAAGGAGCTGCCCAGAGAGAGCAGATGAGAAGCCAGCCAGAGAGCCTTGGTGAAGGGCCCCCCCAAAGACTAAAAGACAAGTCTCAGCCTGATGGCACAAAGGGTAAGGACGCAGCACTGCAACACGAGTTCAATCCCAGCCAGGGAGTGACCCACGTGGCGCGGCAGACCTTTCCTGACCCGCCCATTGCTCCCCTCAGCAGTGTACTTCGTTGACCTGCCTGTTCTGCTCCCCACTCTGTCTCTCGTGAATCCTCTCAGCCCCTGCACCTCTGGCTACATAAAATTAATCTTTAAAAAAATAAAAAGACGGGCCCTCCCTGGTGGCGCAGCGGGTTAAGGCACTGCACTGAGAAGCTAAAGCCGCCTCCTCATGAGTTCGATTCCCGTCTGGCCCGGAGGTGACCACATGGCGTGGCAGACCTCTCCTGACCCGCCCGCTGCTCCCCTCAGCAGTGTACTTCCTCGATCTGCCTGTTCTGCTCCCCACTCTGTCTCTGGTGAATCCTCTCACCCTCCGCATCTCTGGCCTGTACCCCAGTTCTGTACGAATAAATAATAAAATCTTAAAAAAAAAATAAATAAATAAAAAATAAAAAGACAAGTCTCCCTCTCTCCACCTCAAGTCTCAAATCACTCAGGGTCTCCGACACGCTCCAGCTCACCACCCCTATATTCAGACAGTCTTAAAGACCACCAGGACCTTCCGAGTCCTCAGAGCAACTGCTTACCATACACAGCAAACACGTCCCTGATCTCCTTCTCGATCACCCGCAGTGCAGCCTCAATGCCGTATGTGCTGGCCATTGCGTGGATGTCGTTGGAATAGAGGCGCCGTAAATCCAGAACCTGGGAAGGAAGGAGGGATTGGCCCAAAGGGCCTGGCTCGGTTCCAACCTGGCTGCTGAGCGCAGCTAAGGACAGAGTGGTCACCAGTAACCCGGGATGAGGGGAAGGAGACAGCGTGCGCAGAGCTGCTGACAAGGCCCTGGCCGTGCCCTGAGGTCGGTCTCCTTGTCATTACCAGAGCCAGAGATTACTGGTGCTGGCTTAAGAGTCCACAGGAACAAAAATTGTTATTTTTCATTTAACACAGATGAAGCTTCCCTTGGCAGGGGAGGAAAAGCTCCCCAGCAGAGACCTGTCAACAGCTTCCCATGGTATGTGGAGCAGGGACGGGTCAGCTGGGCCTAGTCTAGGACCTGTGGTGACTCCGAGCTGTGGCAGCTCACTGCCACAGGAGAAGGGGAGTTCCTGGCGGCCTGCTTGGCCTTATTTAAACAAACCTTGCAAGCATGACATGGAGGGCTATGTTGGTGTCTGTCTCTCCGGAATACAAACCCTCCCCCCATTGTCTTCACTCTGTCCTCTGGAACAGGGCTGGGTAAACGGGCCCAGGGCGAAGCGGCCTTTGTGGGACAGCTAGTGTGGAGGGAAGTGTGTGAGGCAGGAGAACTTTGGTGCAGATTAGGGAAGAATTGGTTAGCAAGGTCCTCCTAGTTCCTCAGTATTTTGTAGGACAATATGGCTGGGTGCTGACGGCATCGCAGAAAGATCTAGGTGACTCACTGAAGTGGGTGGAGGGGGAACAGGTCAGAAGGCTCAGAGGGAAGATGACACGCCAGTGGGGCAGGTGGGATGGGCGCATAGGTGGCACCAACACGAGGGCCTGGGTCTTGGCCACCTGTGCTCCACGTCCGGACTCGAGCAAACTATTTCCTACAAACTCTACCTTGCAGAGGTTTGTACTTCAAGGCAAAACAATCCTACTTTAATCAGTTTGAGAAACTCTGGGTTAGGTAAAGTTAAGCAGGCTTCTGAACTGCAAACCTTAGTTAGGCTAATACACACTGTGGGCGCTCCAAGAGGGAGGCCAGGACAAGCACATTTGGTCTGGAGACGCTGGGCCCGACATGCAGTCAGCCCAGGTAAATCAGCTGGACCCTCGCCTCCTGGGGCCTAGAGCTGGACCCTGTCCCAGGCCAGCAGAGAGTCCAGAGAGGGGCTGCATACCTCAGCATACTTGAACAGCTCTGGGAGGTTGATTCCTTCTGTGTTTAAGACAAACTCCTTCTCATTCCTGTTGTTGGTGGTTTCATTCAGGAGGCACCTCGTGATGCCCTTGGTTGCATAGACGACAGCGCCATGGGCCAAGGACACTACCAGGGAGCTCATGTCAAAGTTAATCTTCATTAGGGGGAATTTCAATGTCACCTGCAAGAGAAGGGGAGAGCTGGGCCAGAGGAGAAGGCGCGCACAGAGGGCAGCGAGCAGAGGCTCCAGGAGGCTCCTTCCAGTTCCACTCAGTGAACACTTCAGCTGGGAGAGGGTGCGCCACTGGAGGCGCTGGCAGGTGAACCTTGGGTGGCTGAACTGACCACCCAGAGCGCCCACCGCCAGTCACCCAGACGGAGGTGAAATGGTGGGGAAACACTTTCACAGATGTCAGCGAGAAGGGTGAACTTTGTCCACTCAAAATTGGCTCCAATATCCTTTCAGTTACCACAAAGCATAATACACACTGTTCTGTGTGTGGCGCTGGGCAGTGATTCTCATCTTTACCACCATCTGGGAGCCAGAGTGACTCTAAGGACAAGCCAAAAAAGTCAGCCTGGGGGTGGATGCCCACACAGCCAAACCACCAGTCTTCAAGGGGACTTTGCAATTCCCATGGTGGCTGCCAGGGCGCTCTGTGTCTAAGAATAAAGTATTCCTGCTTGTCTCTGCGCCAACTTTGATGGATGTTAAGATACTTCTAGTATGGAGGATTAATAAGGCGATACTGAGAGTACCTATCGGGTCTGGGAGATCAGACCCACGTGCATACTGTGCCTGAGAATTCAGAGGAAAGTGGCCCAACACGGGTCTGAAAGTTAAAGGTGTGTGGGGTTGTATTTTGGGGCAAAGGGTCCATAGCTGTCATCAGATTGTTTAAAGAATTTGGGATTAAAGACAATAACCAACGCTCACAGGCCCTAGAGACAGGAGCACAACAGCAGGCCTGTCCGGCACATGCCATACTCAAGCCTACCTGGCACCACAGGCCCTCCGCCGCGTCATACTGGTAGTCTTCTATGCACGGGTGGGACTCTCGCACGGCCTGCACCCGGCGCGCCTCATCTCCATGGGGCTCCTGACTCCGGGTAGCTTGTGGACGCTGCGTCAGAGGTGCAGCAGGGCCCGAGTCCTCTTCAGGCTCTGAGTCCGCGTCCTCGTCTTGCTCCTGGGCCTTGTCGGGGAGTTGCCCACCCTCGTGTCCCTGCTCCTGTATGTTGTCGTCGTCATCCTCCTCCCCATCCTTCTCCTCCTCTTCTTCACTCTCGTAATCAACCTAATGGGAGTCAGAGGGCGTGCTGAGTCACTCGGGTCCTCCCATCTTTCTGGACTTTGCCTGAGGAACAAGCACCCCTGCAAAGCCGGATGTGCTGGGCCCACCCAGGCCCTACCTGTTCCACACTCCTGGCTTCTCTGCTCTGGCCTCTCCTGCTGGTCCTTCCCCTCAGTCCCAGTCCCCCCACCTCAGAGCTTACCCACCAGCTTGTGCTCTCTTACCTGTCAACTCCTTCAGTGCCTCGATTCTGTCCATTGCCCTCATGACAACCATGACAGTAGAGGACTGATATGGGGGAGGGGGAATGATATTGTCACTAAAAAAACAGGAGGCAGCCTCACTTTTCTACTTGCCAAAAGCCTTTGGGTCCTTGAATTTGATTCAAATCCAGGCACAGCCAGACCCAAAGATGGCTCCTGTCCATTCTACCATGTAAAAACCACCTTTTCAACCTAGAAATGTGCTGGGCAAGCTGAAGCTTCAAGGCTCCTGAGAGAGGATCCTGAAGGTTTCCAGTATGACACCAATGAGCATATGACAGGGAACGACCTGTGAGCTGTCAAGAGGAGGGACAGGACCATGGCCTCTTCACCCCAGACAGCCCCTCACCTCCTCCTCTTGCTTCTCCTTGCGTTTGGCATCAGAGGCATCAGCGTCACCCTCTTCAGCCTCAGCATCCACAATGCGCCCTTCTTCGTCCTCCTCACCGTCCTGCTCGCCCTGTGGTTTGGGGTCAGGAGGAGACTAGCTCTCACACACTGCGGGGTGACTCCAACTCTCCACCCACAACCCATTCACCTATCACTCACATACTGTTCTGCTCTCAATACCTGTGCACCCCACCGCCTGCCTGCCATCCATTCAGCACACACCCACCTTCCCCCCACCCTACATCTGCCCACCCAACCCACTCCGTGCACCCAGGATCTACTCTGCGCTAGGCCTGGATTCCACATCTCCTTCTCTTTAGCCTTTCACTGGACAAGTACCACTCATAAAACCCATGTTAAAATAAGCAACTTTTCAAGTATCAGGGCTTTTCGAGTCATTGAAAGATTGCAAGATAATACTCAAATATTTTTGTTGCAGGTGGGATGAAAAGAAAAGACATCATAGACAATATTAAGGAAAAAAAACAAAACAAAACAGCAACTCGAAACCAGTTCTTTATAGTTTCCTTGGTGATTTAAAATTAGGAACAGCAGTCTTTCAAAGACAGTTCATGCCACTGGTGCCTGAATTACCCAACTGGTAAACCTGGGGCCCCCACCCAGGTCCACCAGACCACGCTGCTTGGCAGCATGCCTGAAGTGCCCTACCATGCGCAAGAACTAGATGTTTCTGGGCCCTCACTGATAGCAAATAAAAGCTAAGGTGTGTAGAAAAATGGACAAAGTCGAGCAAGGGGGTTGATGGGGCTAAGGACAGTCTCGGAGCTTCACAGGGCTAAGACTACGCCAGCGCCCACCACTGCACGTCCCAGTCCCGGGACGCGCCCCGTGCTGCTGGGGACGCACTCACCCGACCGCGCTCTGACTCCCCAGCGCTGTCTAGATCCCGCTGGGTAGCTCTCCGAGTGTTCACGTTTCTGAAAGCTGATGCTTTACTATTCTTCTTTCTGATGGACTCCATTAGAATTTTAAAGAATCTAAAATGAGAACAGTCATTCAGCTTCCGTTTTGGTAAAAGTTCTGTTCAAGGATCTCACGCGATCAAAGGCGGTATCTGTAACTGAGATGGAGACCAGGCCTCTCCTCTTTGCCACTTTCCATGCCTCTTGTTTCTCAACATCCTAGCGCAAGTCAGCAAAGAACATGGTGCCAGCTCGACAGCCCCGGTCTGGACACAGGCTCCTCCACTCTGGGGTGCCTGGCTCTCGGTGCAGGTCTCCGGGGCTTTAACTCCTTTGTTGCTAAGCTGTGGGTATTGTATGCGTCACACAGTCTTGTACTGAGGACTAGAGACAGCCCTGCCTGACACCTGTGACAAGGCCTGGCCTCGGGGTGCTCAGGTACCAGTGCAGCAAGGTGGTCACTCAGCAAAGATGGCAGATCTATAGGACACTCTGCCCAAGTAGGACCTGCCTCAGCCTCCTGCCTACAGCACCCCCCAGAAAGTGGCACTGCTCCTGTCTGCCTGGCAATGCCTGTCTTAATGTGTTCCTGACAACTGGAATGCAGAAGAATTCATCAGCACTTCAAAGGCAAGGCAGAGGTAACTGATCTTGTGACAGTGAGGTAGGCGGCCAGGTGACAACCAAGCCAATCTGAAAGAACCAATCTGAAGCCACACACACAGGCCTTTCCTGGCCTCACTTGTTACCTCCTAAGCATTTACTTTTAAGCTCCACCCCAAAACCCCTCCCGGGGGTTCTCCTCTCATATAGTCTCTTGCCTATTTCCTTCATCAGGCCATTAACAGCACACCAGATTAATGCTTTTAATATTCTAAAGTTTCAGGTCCCTCATCCATCCATCCTGTATTTTCCAGGCACCTAAACATGCCTATCATGTGGCACATTGGCAACAAAGCAGGGGTGGAAAGTCAGGGCCTTAAAATGTGAATTGAAGAAGAAGGCAGGTCAAATGGTTACCATTTTGCTCATTAGAAATAAGATTGGCATGCTCTCTCTTCATTCCCTGCTTACCCCCTCCTCCCCCCGCGCCCCTATTTTTTAAAGTTGTATGTGGTTTTTACCCTTAACTAAAATAAGATTCCTCACCCACCAATTCAAGAAAGAGCATGGTCACCAGGTATTAGGGACAGGAACAAGAGGGTCAAACAAGGGGAGCGCAGGCTTAATTTTAAAAAGACAAGCCAACCGGGAAGAGATGTTTCTGAAATGATGGATTTAGAGTCAAGTCCCTGTCCTGCCAGCAACTGCAGAGGTGGTGAGAAAGGAGACTACGCCCTGATATGGCATCAGTGTGCCAGACTTCTGGGGCACTGGTCCCCACTCCGTGATTCTGCCAAGGAGTCACTGAAGGTGACTCAAGGTCTTGCTGTTTATCAGAATGCAGCAACTGAAAGTGAACAGGAGGGCTGGTTGCAGAGAGCCCTCCCACCCCACATAAATAATTACAGGGAACATGACCCTTGTTTCCGAAAGTGCCTGGCAACAGCTCCACCACCTGCCTCCTGCAGCTAGACCCACAAAAGCTGTCATAGCAGAAACCACCAACTCGGTCACTTTCTGGTTATAGACCAGAACTGATACCTCCTGACTCCTAGCTCAGTGCTCTTTCTACTCCACTGCCGCCAACCCACCTCTAGATAATATACAAAAATATTCAAAAAGACAGGTGCCAGTACAGATGCTTTAGGGACTTTCGCTGCTTCATTTGTCTCTATCTGTAGACTCTTTTTGCAATCTATGTCCAGAGCCTCATCATCTCACAGCTGGGAGAGGGGAAGCGGGGTGGGGTGGGGAGGGAAGAAAAAAGAGGGTGGGAGAGAGAAGGACAGGAAGGTTGGGGGGTGGGGGGTGGGCAGGGGGACACGGGGAATTACTTCTTGTGGGCTAGAAGCGGCGGCCTGGCTGTGATGTTATGACTTCCTGGGCCTGGCCAAAATGGTTCAGACCACACTTGATTCACATGCTGCGCTCTCTCATTTCTGGCCTGTTGCACTGAAGTTGCAAGGAGCCACTTCACCAAAGCTGCACAAGTTTTGGTTACATAGCTTTTCGAGTGCACCAGCAAATTACCAGCTAGGCATTAAAAAAGTACTTCCTGCTAGGAAGCCAGGACAATCCTTCAGCAAGAAATTTTAAAAAGCCGTGGATTTTCAATTCTTGAAGATAATGCCAGTAAAAGAACTCTAAGCAAAGCTTGGTGCACTTCCCACTGACATACCTGTTTGGCAGGTCTAATGCCCTAGGAAAACAGAAACGGGGAGACCATCCAATTCTGCCTGCTTTTGAAAATCTCAAGAGGCACGTGATCCTCGTCCCCATTTCTCAGAGAAGGGCTGCCTGGCCAGCACAAACATGCAGTGCACTTGGGAGCTGTGTTCCTTCCTGTTAATTAATGAGCCTGCAAGCTGGTTTGCAGACAGGTCTCCTGTGCCATGGCCCTGCATCACCAGAACACTGACCCACCTGGTAAAATAAACCTTTTCCACCTAGGTGAAGAACAATGCAGGTATTCCCAAAGGCCCCGTCAGTGACCCCTGTCCAAAGGACTGATTCACTGTCAAGTTCGCCTACCACCACACCACCTACCCAGATGCCACTTCTTTAGAGAGGTCAGCCTGAAGCTAGCTACCTCTCTCAGGTGAGTGGGAATAATAGGGCCAAGCTCAAGAAGTCAGGACTCATCAACCAGAGAAAAGTATTCCAGAGGGGGCATGTGGTTAATGCAGTCAGAGTCAGTTTAGGGGTGAGGTTTCAGGATGCTGGAAGACTTGCTCTCTCCCAGTGACAACCTTATCCTCTACCCCCAAGACTGGACTACAGATGGGCACCCCTTAGCATAGGACTGGGACGACTGCATGCAGAGGACCTACTGCCTCCACCTGCCGTTCCCACTTCCGTATCTGAGCTGCTCCGGGGGGACCTGGGAGCTGGTCGAGATCAGCACAGCGGTCAGCGACCAAACGCTGCCACAGGTGGGATCTGTTGGGGGAACATATGAACGACTCGCTGATATTTTAAATCAGGAAACGTCTTATTCATGAAAGCAAAAGTAAGCAACCAAGTAGTCAAAACAGACAAAAGACAAGTGGGGAATAGAGGACTATTTCTTTACTGACTCACAAGCTCAAGCTGCCTCAGCCCAGATTCTTGCCCCTGGAGACGGATTCCAACAGCATGTGCTGGAGACAGCGCAGCACCACTCTCTTAGGCTGACCTCTCAACGGGGCTCCATGATCTCTGCGGGGCCCACTTCTACATCTACAACGTACAAACTCAAGCAGTCAGGCTCATCAACCAGAGAAAAGAAAAAGTCTCCCAGAGAGGGCATGTGGTTAACGCATCAGTGAGGTTAAGGTGGTTTCCAGATTAGGCTGCAGAGTCTGTTAGTCTTCCTAAACACTCTCCTTCAACTCATTTAGGCAAATGTGCCCAAACGCTCGGAGTTCTGTGGTCAGGAGTGCTCAAGGTCAATGCCAAAGTCAAGTAATAGAGTCCTGACCTTGTTTCCATGAAATGCAAGATATCCTGGGGTCGCAAGCACTTCTCCTGCTGGTAATACGCATGTGGCAGGAACTGAAACCGCAGCTGGTACACTCTGAACTTGTTCTGTTTTTCCCCTATAGAGAAGGACTCCTGGACGTCAATTTTCTGTAACACCTAGAACCAGATGGACAGAGAACCCAATATACCAGGTACCAGGGGACTGGGCATTGTAAGAGTGTCATGGGAAATCAGAGGGTTCAAGAGGACAGGGGCTGGGGCCAGGCGCTAATGCCCCAAAGACACTCCAGTGAGCTCTGCTGGTGCAGGATCTTTTGGAGAGAAACATGGGTCCCACGGTCAGCAGGTCACCCCCAGAGAATGGTCTGAGGCTGAGAGGAGGGGCTCCAGCGGGGATGGCAAGTTACCCCAGGAACCTGTGAATGCGCAGCACCGATGATTACTTTTAAAACTGCTTGATCTATCCCTGCTCAGCGCCTGGCAGAAAATGCTTCTCCCTCATCGGCGGAAGTCTTTGTTGAGCCCAGTCAACAGTCGGTCCTTCATGGGTAGGGGGTGCAGGTAAATACCTCCACCCGGGGCAGACACGTCTGAGAGAGACCATTACCTCTCCTAAGCACACCCTGGTGAGCTGCTTCTTCAGGCTTTTCACTCTCTTTAGTGCTTTCTTAGTGTTGAACACAGGCACACTCATCATGGGCGTCTTGATGTTGGCACTGGCCACCATGAGAATCTCCCTCAGCCTGTAACAGAGAACAGGGATGCACCTGATCACCAAAGCTACACAGATTCCCTACCTGTGAGAGACTTTTCTTGTGAAGATATACGAGACCTGGGGTCTGAGAGAGGCCTATGGATCTTGCAGGGAAATATGCTGGGCAAAAGAGTCCTGGCTCTGGCCCCGTATGCAGTCCCCAGTGACTATCGGTGTCCTCCAGTGGAACATGGACCCACGGACAGGGTTGTGTCCCACACGCATGCACGCACACACTCACTCTCTTCATCAAACGGCTTCATCCCCAGGAAGGACTAGGACAGACCGCACCCCGTGTACCCTTGTGGCCCTGCACCTCGGAATGCCCAGCGTGACGTTCATTTCGCCTCTGCCGGCAAAGTGGAAAGTGTTCAGAGTCATCTGTGTGGAGGGCTCCCCGATGCTCTGGGCAGCCAGCAGCCCCACGGCCTCACCCGGGTCACACAGTGAGCGCTGCCACTTCAGCTGCAACAGGGTCCTTAACCTGATAAGGCAGGAGATGGCAGGGGTTAGAAGCACATAGGAGGTGTCTGTTAGGACACACCTGAAACCAGGGTGCACGTACTGTTCTCTCTCCCTGTTTGAGAGCTTGTTTTTCCTAGCTGAATGGTCTTTCTAATCCTTAAATTCCTTCTAGAAACCCTGGGAAGTCCTACGTTACGCAGCACAGAGCCCAGTTGGGTGGCTGAAGCTCCAGGTGTCCACACGACTACTCCGTTTGCCGAGGACGTCATACGTGCATTCTGCACCAATTCCTACCCAGTTCCCTGGGCAGTAAGAATTCCTGCTCTCATGATTCACATTCTCCTTTGTCTACTCTTTTCCCCACTGGTTGTGAGTTTGGCAAGGCTTAAACTTCTCTCTGTATAAACTAGGGGGGATCACTGAGCTGTTATGGGAATAGCAAGGGACTGGGGCGTTTATTTTCTTAATTGGTGCAAATCACTGTAGGCCACATCAGAGGTATGCATGCCACACAATTTTATAATTTACTAAGCTTTCTTTCTATGAAATCTGGCTCTTTTAGAACAGCCACTACAGAGACTAATATCCCAGCAAGGAACAAGGAAGGTGCTCAACAAATACAGATTAAATGGATGTATGTGCAAATCTGCAGTGAAGATTGACTGGTATCAGTATTCCTGATAGGGAAGTCTTAAAATACTTGCAGAACTCTGGAACTCTACAAGTTGCTGCTTACTAGCAGGTCACTGTGAGAGCTGTGGAGATAAGTGCTTCCCGTCTTGGCTCTTAGAACCCACATGCTGTTCACCAGGGCTGCTCCCCCCACGCCCGATGCAACGCAGCTGGAAAGAGCCACTGGGATGGCCCTGAAGGTCATCACTGGCATCCTGAGGGGCAAGACCAGGATCTGACGCTAACCAAAACATCTGCTGGCAACTGGGCTAACCCGGCGTGATTTACTCTATCCAGGAATGTGACTGGAGAAACCACTCTAAGAGGCAAAAGGAGAAAGCCCTGTCCCTTCTCTCTAGCTGCTCCACTCAATGGTCTGTGCTCTCTTGCCCTAACTGACTCGCAACTCCTGCTGCAGCCCCACGCTGACCCTGGCAGCCTCTCCCGCACCTTGCTGAATTCACTGGGTACAGGATGAAAAGCCAGGCGGGGGCAGCGACCTCAGAAGTTTCCAGTTCTGCAGATTCGGCGTAGTAAGCTGATCAGGCAGGACCCCTGGAACAACTCCAAGATCAACCCCTCAAACTGGCATTCTTTGAGGGTACTTTTGAGGTTTTTACCCATTGTGGCTTGGTGCGGCTTCATGCCTGGCTTCTCACCTGTCTAGAACACCGGTATTTTTCCTGTTTTATCTCCCTGCGCGAGAGTGCAAGATGAGGACGTCATGTGGTCCTTTCCCTCAGGATCTAAAATCCAACACTTAAAGGACCGCCAGAGTAAGGAAGTCCAACCCATGAAAGATAAGATGTCACAGGGCAGTGTGTGAATTACCCTGAGGCACAGAGCCGGCAGCTGCGGAACAGTGATCAGACTCTCTGATGCACCAAATTCAAGAGAGGTCCTTTCTGCAAGCCTCTGTCCCAGTACTCTTCTCCGTCTTGCCCAGAGGTGGGTATCCACTCCTGTCTACCTGCTCTTGCCTGTCCAGAGCCCTGGGAGCTGCAACATCCCCTTCTGTTTCACGTTCCTCCCTTCTGCTGGAGTCTCACACCAGGAGGCTTCCTTCCCCTTAAAGGGTGGGTAGGGAAGAGTGTGAGAGGGAGATGTGCTCTCTGCACACACCACGTAACCAATGAAAGGCATCACCTGTCCAGAGAAAGTGCTGCTTTTTCACAATTCTTCTCCACTTGAGATGCCCACTCGTAACTGTAATCATCCATCTTTTTCTCGAATGTTTCTGATACTGATGCAAAGTAGATGTCTGGGCGCCAGACTGACAGGCTGGGGTCAGGACAAGGGGCTGCCTTCTTGTGGTATTTCCTCCGGCTCTTTTCATCTAACTCATACCACATCCTCAACATCTGAAAGGAAGGGTGGACCTCAGTGATGCTGGGAATGCCAGGAATGGCTTCTTTTCCTGGGACACCCAGCAATAGAAGGCCACTCAAAGCACAGGCTTCACATAACAGCAGGGAAAAGGGCTAGAAATCAGACTGCTGTGAAAAAACCACCTCAGCATTAAAGCAAAGTGAAACCCAGGACACCAACCATGACCAGGAGCGCTGCACCTCAGCTCATGCATGCATGGGGGTGAGGGGAACAGGTAAGTGACTATCTAAACTCGGCTTCTCTGAGAGTAAAATGGGGAGCTATTAGTAAGAGCGCTATGCCAGGAGGCAAAGCCAGGGACCATGCTGATCCATGCGCCCATCCAGCTTTCACAAGCTCCACACCCAGTCGTCGCCACCGCCTCCCCCCCACCCCAGACTCTTCCCCCGGATCCCAGGTGTTGGACTAACGGGAAGCCCAGCAGCAGAGAGGAAGGAGTAAAGAGTAAGGCTGGGCGTTTACCCCCCACCTATTCTAAGGTCCTCCAAGCAGGAGGCCAGGCTCGCCACTGAGGACACCTGTCAAGCGGCCTCTGCCCACAGTCACCCTCCCCACTCCTGGTGAGCGCTCTCCCTGTCCCTCACACCTGGAGTGGTGAGGAAGCCCAGTTACCGATCTCAATTAGTTTTCCCCAAACCCTGCCCACATCTCTGTAATGAGGCCCCTCCTAAAACTTTTACTTGAAGACCATTTGTTTCCTGACTGAGAGTGAATGGAGCCAGATTACAGTCTTATACCTTCTACTAGGAAAATAATCCCTAGTCCTTCCAACCCTGCCCGAGGCCTGTATGCACCAGGCACTGGGGATACAGTCCCCAGGTCACCTGGTGAGTCCCAAGGCTGCGGCCATTCTGGTTTGCATCTTCAAGGTTCAAGGCTTTCACAGCTGCCTGTATTTTCTGGGAGTAATTCAAGAAGGCGCCTCTTCTCAGCAGGGTGTTGGAATGCTTGCTTTGCCATTTTTTGATGGCTCTGAAGTGGCGTAGAGCTTTTTGGGGATCTGCTCTGGATAAAACTTCATTCAGATGCCTCGATTTCATTATCACCTAAATAGCACACACGAGACCAGATGTGAGTCATACAACGTCATGGGGTGAGAATGGCTTGGGTAAAGTCCTACAACCTAGAGCCCAGCACACTGCAAATGTCCCCAGGTGGTAGCTGTTATTCTAGCAGTGTGTGTCCCTTTCTGCCATTTGACATGATAAAAGCCAAGAGGGGCTAAGAAAACGTCAAGTGTGTCAAAGCATCAGACTAGCACTTTATAAACTTTCCACTTGACAGCCTCCTTGACTGGGTGACAAAGTTCAGGTGCCCAAGTTCTCTCCTTGGGTGGAAGACCCAGGTGCCAGGGGTCAAGTCCATTACCTCATAGTTGCTGGCAAGGAAGGGGAACTGCTTGGGCTGCAGGAACTGTGTCTTGGGGATGTCCAGGCCGTCCTCCCCATACAGGAACTGCACCACGCTGCCGTCACTGTCGCGGACAGTGAGATCATACTGGACCACCAGCCCCTCCAGGTGTTTGATGATGCACCTATACAGAGACCACCAGCTCAGGGCTCACCAGGCTCAACAACTCCCACTGCAATTCGCAGACAGGGACAGGGACAGCAGCGGGGAGGGTGAGAGATGGGGGAATAGAATTGGGAAGAGGACTGCTGTCTAGCAGCCAAACACGATTCCAGGACAGGTTGGCTCTGACTGCTCCACCTTGGCTCCCACCTTCAGCCCCAGCTGCTGGACCATACAGTCTGCCTTTCCCTCTCCTGTAGCTCAGAGTTCCCTGGGGACCAGTGTCCTTAGAACACAAGGCAGCAAAGCAAAAGGATTTTCTTGCTTCAAGGACGTCAGTGCTAGTTGCCACTGTTTTCTTGGCACCTAGTTCACAGCCTGGCAAGACTGGTGCTGAAAACCCACTTTCCCTTTGCTGGGACAGCTTAAGTGTCACTCATTTCTCTGCTCTCTCCTTGCCCCACTGGGCTCTAGCTCTCAGCACAGCACCAGCCTCTGAAGTCTGTATCCCTGGCCCAAGCTTCACACCTCGTCTCCAAGGGCCCACTAGACATGTCTACTTGAACATCCTTTTGCTGCTGCCTCAGACCACCCACTTTCTCTCCTGCCCCCGCAGCATCTTGCTTTCTATCAACTGTGCCACTGTGCTGTTGCTGAGGTCTAAAAACTCGGCTGTGTTGGATGCCTCCCTGCCTCTCATACATTACTGCCGCAGCCCCTGTCATCGCCACATCTGCTGCTTCCTAACCACTGCCACCCTCAGACATCAGTCTTCCAAACTCTAGCTGGAAGCTGCAGAGGTTTGCCCAGGCGCTGCCCTTTCATTCCAGCCAAGATCCTCACTACCCTCAATCTTCCCACCTTGCATTCTCTCAGCCTCAGGGTCCCTGATACCATGCATGGGGCCCCGCCTACGGACTCCTGGTCTCTCGCTTTTCCTACACTGCACTCGTTCTTAAGTGTTTAAAAATGATGAAGGTAGAATAAACCCTGCTGATGGCAGGAGCTGAGGGAAGCTTGCCCAACTACGGGGTTCTCACTCCTACCCTGGCACAGCCAAGCCAGCTTCTCACCAACAGGCCATCCATGTGTGTCCACCCAAGCCCTTACATCCCCTTCTCGCCCCAACAACATGGATGCAGCCTTGGGAGTCAAGAAGGAAGGGCCAAAATAAGGTATTCAGCGCCAGGCAATTAGAGCTAAGAGAAGCAGGAAGAAGCACAGAGCTGGAGCAGACAGGAAGCCCTGCAGGGGGAAAGGAAGCAGCTGTGCCTCCCTATCCAGCAGCATATCCAGTTCCTGGGAACATAACATAAAGTCAGGCATGTGGAGCACAGAGACATATTTTTGTCATCTCCTCCATTTTCCACAACCATTGCTATAACACAGGTTCTCTAGGGTCGGGAAGAAACAAAACCAGACTCCAAGTCAGAGCCTTGCCACATTACACCCCAAAGGAGGGAGGATGAGGCAAAATGATCTGCTACTCCTGGTACCCCATCCTGTCAGGCACTGTGGACTCAAACCCTGTTCAATGTTAATATTCATTCAGTGAGAATGGCTTTGGGGTCCCTTTCCTCCCAGAGAGGAAAGAAAACAAGCAGATCTGGGATCCCCACAGACATCTGTACCTGGAGGGCCAGTAATGCTTGCAGGCAGGGACCCTGGGCCTGGGACCCTCTTGGCAATATCCCAGAATGCTGGGTCCTCCCAGGGTGGAGGACAAGCTCGTCACTGCTTGCCACACCCCTAACTTCCCCAGGAAGGGGCACACCCTCCGAACACAGGGAACCTGGATGCAAACCTGAGCCCCAGCTCTGCCAAGCCTTTAAAAGGGGAAGAACACTGGCTACTTTCTGTCTCAGATGACCCATGAGCATTTTAAAAGTTTCTTCATCCCAAGGGAATCTTCAGTGGACTGTTAATGAAAAGGTGAAAAATGAGAGACGTGACTGGTGTTGGGACAGTGATGCATCTAGCGATGGCAGAGCAGGAGCTTCTTACCTTTGGAGGTAGCCAGAGCGGCTGGTTTTCACAGCGGTGTCGACCAGACCCTCTCGTCCTGCCATGCAGTGAAAGAAGAACTCCTGTGGGAGAAATAGGAACCAGGTCACCGATGTGGCAGTGAGGACAGTGTGCTTCCTGAAGGGTGGTTCAAGTTAATACTTCCAGTGGCCTTGCCTGCTCTCCAGCGCCTTGCGTTTAACTGTTCCAGTGGTACCTGGTGACTCCTGTCCTTCCCTGTATTACCTGTATTTCCCTGTATTACCTGTGTTATCCTGCCTGGGAGCAGAGGCATGGTGGGTGAGAAGTCACAGCTCCTGTGTACAGCAGCCAGGCAGTCTGCCCTCAGTGTCTTATCCCAACCCTACACCCCACTTTCCAAAAAGATCAGCACTGGTGCCTCATCACTGGTTGAGTGGTACCCTCATGTCCAGTGCAGATAAGAACTCTTGAGAGAGATGACACAGCAGGAAGAGGTGAGGGTGGGATTGGCCTTATTTTCTCATCTATCACCAACCACTGACTAAGCACCCACTACGTGTCAGGCCCTGTACAAGGCTCTGTCTTTAAAGGATGTGACATGCTTGTATCTGGTCCTCACGAGCCATCAAGCACCAAGTGGACATTTATTACTTGACCTTCCTTGCTCAGAGTTGTTGGTGAAGGTCATAGGACTGCTCCCACTGAATCTAGAAATGGGATAAAATGCTCAAAGGAAAAACAAAAGTACATACGGGAGGCTTGATGCCAGTGAGGAATCTGCCAGTGACAAAGCCACCAGCTCTGGGAGTGAATTCGTAAGGTTCAAAGCAGGGGAGTGACTTGCCAGATGCCATCAGTGGGGGTCTTCGACCTTCCAATTCAATCTGCCCCAGAAGGCATGAAATCTAGGGGAAAGAAAATCCAAAAGAAACTCAAGACCTGCATAGATGATCATGAATATTTTGCATAAGTAGGAGGGCCTGCCCTGAAATGAAACAGTTCTCTAAGGTCAGTCTGGATGTTTAAACCAACGAAGGAAGCTTGCATTTTAAGAAGGTAAGCCAGTCTTTCTCTTGTTGACTTTTTGATTTTTTTTTCTACATTTGGAGTCAACTGAAAATGATGTTCATCAAATAAGCTATTTCAAAAGCATCACATGTTATGAAAGAGACCAACAGGTCCTTATGGGGAACCAAGGCAAACAGGAAAAAGAAAGCGGCGATCCTTAAGTTCTAGAACCAAAACTAAAACTAAAACAAAAAATCCTATATTCCTGGGAAGTAGAGCAGGGGGTTTTGATTTTGAAATCCATTCCTACTGCTTTATGCCCACCAACAAACAGATGACCTCTAAGATCCTCTCAAGGTCATCAAGATTAAAAAAAAAAAAAAGCTGTGATTTGTGATGGCATGACAATAATGTACCTCACATTAAGGACTGAGAAACCTGTAGGGCGATGCCTGTAACAGTAAAGTAGATCATACAAAATCATAGGATCTTCAGCTACAATCTTGATATACCACAGTGTTTATCAATAATACAAATATATGTGATAGGATTTTATGACACGCATATTTGCAAGATATCCCCATATCTATATATTAACCTGTTTTGGTCTCTAACATTCACATGTCAACAGTGGCTCGTGCCTGTAATGACTTCTATGTGCTTTTATATTTTTCAGTATTTGCCATATTTTATACAGAATGTAGGTTCTTTTGAAAAGCAGAAACAAATCTAAAAAAACTGCCTCCTGAGATCACCCCATCTTCCGGCCAATGGGCCAGCCCTGCCTTTGCTCACACCTGCATGGTATTCACAGTTGAACCTTTGGCTCCTGACTGCACCATCATCTGCAAGTTGTTCTCCGGGAACTGTCTGTGCAGGCCAAAGGGCATGCATGCCTGAGGAGTAAATAAAAACATGGATCAGAAGGTAAGTTCACCTGACAGAGGATGGTATCACTTGGCAATGGTGACCAGTGACCAGGCCGTATTCACATAACGTGCTGCCCAAGTACCACAAAAGAGCCCTGCCTCAGCTCCAGGGCCAATGGAAGCAAGTAAGCCCCCCAGTGTAGCCCAAGGAGAGGCAGGAAGGGTATTCTGACTCCGCCTTAGGACTGCTGAGACCACAGCCACACAGGAAAGGCAGAATCTGGGTGGGAAGAGGGGAACCGAGAGACAGGAAGTAGTTCTGAGATGCTTCTGAGACCACACCCCCACCCCAGCCTTGCCAATCAACCCTAAAAGCTGAGCCTTCTGGTTCTCTGGAAGATGCTAGGGAGGCTCCTCTGAATAAAACCTCTTAAAGACAGAACCTGTGCCAACTTGCGGTCTGTATTCACACCAGTTCAGAGGATACCACTGGCAAAGCTTGACTTCTGTTGAGCCCTGCTACAGTGCTTATCAATAATGCGAATTGATATTGGCTGGCCACAGGGCTTGGAGTCCTGCCTCTGAGGTGGAAAGGTAGAGAGAACCAGTTGTGCCCTTGACTTATGGAGCATTCTCTCTCTAAATTGCACAGGAAGGGGCTTTGGCAGACTTTCTGAGGTTACACAGCAAGTACATGGCAGAGTCCACATTTGAACCAAGGTCTTCACCCCTCGCCCTGCTATATAAGCAGCAGAGGTACTTTTGGTTTTCCATTCTGCATTTCTACCCAGAGGAAAGGCTCTAGAAGAGCTTTTCTTCCTTCAGACCCCCTTCACTGGTCACTCAAAATACATTTTAAAAGAAAGTAAGGATAGAGCATTCCTTATCAGCACTAATGACAGACCCTACACCTGGGTGAAGGAATAAAGCCCTTGAGTTTTCAAGGACCTCACCTAATCAGCTGCTCCTAGGAGCTTTGGGTGAGAAACAAATATAATTTAAAAAACAAAACAAAACAAAACCAGCATTCAAAATGGTGGCAATAAGTGCAATGCATTACTGGACTAACCTTGTTAATCTCATTGCTGTAATGGTTCACTTCCTCCTTGAACTTTAGATCAATCATGTTAAAGTCCCTCTGGTCTTTGCCCAGATGGGCATCCTGCCATTTCCCTCGGATCTCATCACACGCTGCTGTTTCTGGCAGGCTTAATGCAGTCCTGACAGCCTAGAATGAGAAAATGAACATGTTGGAGGCTGCGGCCAAGTGAGGAAGGCTTGGGCTTTGTTCTGTAGGCGACCGGACTCCCAGTGGTAGAATGGAGCCTCCCAGACCCTCCTCACCCGGGGCCCACACTGAGTGGACTCTTCAATGATCCTGTGTCTCTTGACATCTGCCTTCGGCTTAACCAAAATGTCTTCCACGCCTGTGAAGTGAAACAGACGAGCTTGAATGGGACGGGGGTGACGCCTCACCAGGCTGGAAACTTGGTGAGCTCAGGGCATGGAGCACCATGCCACATACACAGGGAGCACAAGACCAATGACGTGTTAACATCAAGAGGTTGTTCTGACATCTTTAGTGCTTCCTAGAGGCCACGCATTATAATCCCCATTGTAATAATGAAACTAAAACTCAACTTTGAGCAACCCACCCAAAGTTACACAGACAGAAAGTAAACTGAGACTCAGCTCCAAACTTAGCCACTTGCTGAGTGCCTACACTCAGTAAATACCTGCTGGAACATAGGCTAGAGGTGAAGGTTTGGAGTGAAAACTCAGGTGTGGGGTTTGGCAAAGTGTGAAAGAGGGAAGGAGAGAACATCCTGGTTTGGGCCCTAGATGTCACACATCACAGAGACTACCCCACACATGTGTGTGGCAGGCACACAGAGACACACTTGGGCCTGGCTCACTCCAGTGAAGCCTGTCCTGGCTCCAAAGGGTTGACGAATGCCTCACCTTGACCAGTAGCGCCTTCTACTTCTACTTCCAATCACACTATTTTCTGCCCCTCTTTATGAGTGGTACCACACTCAAGTCCTTCAGTTGAGATGTGAGTGGGAAGGAAAACAATACTGTTCTATTCAAAAGCTGAGCTAACACATCTGGAATTCCCAGTGTTCTGGAGGCTTGAGGGCCCATATAGAACAAACTTGAGTGGGGGAGGAAAGAACAGTGCCTCTGGGAGGAAGCCATAATCACAAAAGTGGGTCCTCCCATGAGGTCAGCATTAAGCCACCTTGCTGTCCCCCTTCAATGACTGTCCTGTTGTGAGGGCTGTAATGAAGGCAACACCCCCAGCCTGCCCTTCCCTCCGAGCTCAATGCCCAGCTTGACATGCTCTCTCAGTCTCATGGATCTGCATGCAGGGGCCCAACTTCTTTTGGGCCACAAGCCAAACAGCACTATAAGCACAGCTTGCTTGTCAACGGTGGTCCTTATGATTTGGGTATGGGCCTTTCACTTTGCATTCTTCATGATTTTTCATTTAAGGGGGCTCATCCCAATAAAAATCATGAATCTGGAAATAGTCCAACAAATGTTTAACAGAAACCAGGTAAATAAACCAGGATGCATCTATATAGCTAGACTAATCTACAGGAGAGAACGGAAGGGAATGTGAGTCTCATTAGTCCCAAGAACATTTCCTGTCCCATAAAGGGTAGAGTCAAGAAAGAGATGGAATGGAAATGTGGACAGAAGGTGTCACTGGCCTGTTGATGGTGAAGAAACAATGACTGGGGGAGGAGGACGTGGAGAGCCCCAAAGAGCAAGGCTGTTAACTGTCACCGACGGCCCAGTGATGGTGTCCTCACAAGCCCCCGGCCACCAGCCAGCACTCACCCAGGGTGAAGCCTCTGTAGAGCTGCAGGTAGGCGGTGAAGAGACGCGCTAGGCAGGTGAGGACCTTGCCGCTGGTTTCACCCCCATAGATCTCGTAGCAACAGTGCACCAGGCCGTAGGCGGAGCTCCCATAATGCGCCTTGTCCAGCACCCCGCAGAGAAGCTCCCCTGCTCTGATGATCACCTGTGGAGGGACAGCCAGCAGTGCTGGGCTGAAGGTGACACCTCCTCGGTGGGGCCCTCTCCCTCCTCCACACGTTTCTGAACCTCATTATGCAAGTTCCCTCGCTATAACCTGCTGCGAATCTCTGATGCAAAGAAGTAGGGGCTAAATGGACTCAAGTGGTTTTTTGGTTTGGTTTTTTAAACAAAGGAGGTGAGCACATATAAACCCATGAGTTTTAAAAATTGTTTTCAGGGACTGCACTCTGTATATACATGTGAATGTTTCAGTGTTCATCCATCTTCTTGTTCCCCCGTCAATTACACTGTCTTGAGGTGAAAGACCTTGTGAGTGGAACTGATGACATCTAGAATCAAAGCTTCATCATCATGCTGCTGATAGAGGTACCCCTACTTTATACTCTGGGATTAAGAACAATGTAACCTTTCTGACTTCCTTTAAAGCCTGAATTTGTATTTCCATAAGACTGGGTTGGAGCATGATTAAGAATTTCTTGCTGTAGGAGCTACTGATGCCCACTCTACAAATGAGCCAAGTGCATGCCACCGGTGGAGGCTGGGTGACTTGTCCAGGGCCGCACCGTGGTGGTGAGGCACCAGTCTTCTGACTCTATGCCTACTGGCCTTGAGGTAAGCAAATGCAAGGACCTCAGCTCATTTCAGATGAAATTATGCCAGATATTTAATTCTTTCCTATCTGTGGTTACAGCTCCAGATACGGGGAGATTCTCTTTCAGGGAAGTAGAGGCTTGGAATGGACTGCAGACGCTTATACTGGTTTGAGACAAGGCAGAACTGTGTATGTTGAAGGAAGCAGGTAACAGGTGTGCCACAGAGGTGCTTGAAAGACTGAATGTCAGTCGGAAAAAAAAAAAAAAGAATTTCTTGCTGTATAATACAGCACACATTGAGCAGCTTTGGTTCTGAATGGAATGTCTGCTTAACTCTAGAAGCTTAACACTTGTAAGCTGGGGGTTTGGGATGCTCCCCTACCAAGAACAGGCAGAGGAGCCTTGGAAATTGGGGGTAGAGCCGACATGAAGGTGGGTGGTGGGGCACAGTCTTATTCTCTGTCAGTTGCACTGTGGCCTGAATTTGACTGCCCTGTTTCTGAGACCTAAACATTGATACCCCAGACACAGAGCTAGAATGTGTGAACCTTGGAGCAATTTGCTGATCTCAAGTCACTCAAGGATCTTAAGGGAAAACACAGATTCTGCATTTCCAAGCTTTGCAGACTCGAGTTCAGAGTCCTTCTACTGGAACATATTTCCCTGCTGGCCGAGTTTTCAACTGAGGGTCAACTGCTAATAAATCAATGCTGACTCTTTCCCTAAACCAAAAGTTGACACCAATGGGGATACAACTCCTCTTCTGAAGCATGGCACCTGCTTCTGCACATGGACCTCCATTTCTGTCTGATTTAAATCAGTGTCTAAACCCAGAACTAGAAGACACCAACCCACACTGAGCAACCATACCTGGGACTCACACATTGAGTCAGGGTTAAAGTTGGGAACAAGCCGAGGAGACTCCTTCACCCAGGCTTTCCCGCTGATCTTTGCTTTTCCTGCTAAATTCAATGGGATCTGATCCTCTGGGATTACGTTGATAAGCAGTGTTGATACTACCTGGAAAGAAAAAGAAGACAAAGTTAATTAATGGCGTGAGGAAAACTGAGAAGTTGCCTTTTTCAGTTTCTCTTCAGTTCCTCAGGAACTGAAGTTCCTCTTTCAATTCATCCTAAAAAAAAATTAGGTAATTCCATTCTGGTGATTCATAGGTAGAGCAAGAAGAGTAAACAGTTATAGGGGCAAATTGCTCTCAGTTCTTTTCTACTTACATATGGAAGAAGCATAAGAACAGAAAAATACACCACTTAGAAATTCACTGGGATTTTCATTTTCCAAAACAGTTCTTTGAAAATGAATAATCCCCTAGATTTGAATTAAGCTCCTGAGTAGACCAAAGAAACCAAAGAGAGTCAAAAAGTAAATTGCTGTGGTACAAAGAATTAAAGTACAGCACTATGAAGCTATCTGCAGCCACTGCAGCATGAGTTCAATCCCCAGCCAGGGAGCTGACCCACATGGAGCAGCAGATCTCTCCTGCCTTGCCTGTTGCTCCTCTCAGCAGTCAGCCTCTTTTGCTCCCCATTCTATCTCTGGTGAATCTTCTCACTCCCTACCCCCCCACACATCAGGCCTGTACCCCAGATCTGTAAGCACAGGCTGGATTCTCAACTCAAAGGGATTAATGTATTACGTTGTATATAAACATTTCTTGGTCCACTCTTTGATTCTATGGTAAATATACTGTTTACAATGAGACAAAATCTAGTAACTTCTAGATGCTTAACTATTTAAGAATTATAAACTATTCACTCCCAAGAAAATTTGAGATGGCTTAGAAAATAAGACATACAAATATGAACAATAAAAATAATATAAAAAGGAGTAGTAAAGTAGATAAATACATATATTCAACTAAGACACACAGTAAGCCAAAGAAGAACACAGGTGCAAAGATACTACGAAGTTTTAGCAAACTGAATTCAACCACACAGAGAGGGTACACCTTAAGGTCAATCAAGGTTTATCCCGGTAATGCAAAGTTGATTTAATACCTTGAGAGCCTGTCAAATCCAAGGTCCACAGACCTAAAGAACTGAAGTGCTGGAAGAGAGCTTATAAATCATCAATTTGAACCCCTTTGTTTTTTAGGTGAATACAGAGATCCACAATCAAGATCTCACAGCTAATTAGTAGTTAAGTCTAGAGGTCTAGTCAGCATTAGAGTATGTGTTTACTGTATTTCATCATGTAAACACTATGTGTACTATTAGGAAAGCCCTGGGTTATACTTACACACACACACACACACACACACACACACACACACACACACACACACACACACACGAGATAAAAAGTACTGTGTTTGATCCCAATGCTTTGGAAGTTAGAAAGACCTGGCTTTGAATACCAATACCACCCTCTATATATTTGAGCACACAACCTAATTTTTCCAAGCCTCAGTATCTCATCTACTAAATGGTGATAATAATGGCCCCTGCACTGCAGGCTGGCTGTGTGGATTAGATAAGATAATGTGTCTTATTTTATTTATCTTATTTATAAAGCATTCATAAACACCTCCCAAAAAATATTACAACTACCAGCACCACTGCCTATTATTACCATCGTTGGATTATGGGGACATCAAGTTCAAGTTTAAAGCAAACATCAGAAACCAAACAGCCTGTTCTTAATGGACACTCCCTTGAAACCAATCACATTTAGGAATTTCACCAAACAAAAAGTCAGACTGCTATCTGATATGTCATTTCTCTACCTCTGGCCTAACTTCTCTTGGGAACACAACCTCTTATTGTGAAGGGCCTGTTTCCTTTTTCATACCTGCTGCTTATTATCTCCCACTTACCTGCTTTCCGGTCCACAGTGGATAGGGCTTCAGGATGGCAGGAGGGAGGAGCTTCACACGGCCCACTTTGTCTATGAGCCCTCGGTACACCAGCTCCATGTAGTGCTCCCTGGTGAAAAAGCAACCTCGGATGGTCATATTTGCACCTGAGACCATGTGATCCTGGATCAACCCTGCCAATGGCTGGCCATCCTATAAACCAAAACAGACAAGGGAAGGACAAAGATAATTTTAAGTCACATCCTAATTCCCAATAATTTGCTTGGAGGCCACCTACTAGGAATAACCCTCTCTCATATCTCCATACGGACCTGCTCCACAGCTTCATGAGCTTCCTGAGCCCAGTGCTCAGGTCTCCCATCTAGAGAGCAAACTCCCTCCCTGACTTGTTTCCACCTACCATCTACCCATTGTTCTACATCAAAACTGCTTCAAATTCATCCAGTTCCCCAAGCCTTCCTTCCATAATCCCATCTGGTTCTAATTACTCTAGCATACTTTTGGCATTTCTGCATAAATTTGGTCTGGCTGCTATGAGTTGTGTGCTTGTTTTTATATTTTGGTTTTATGCTTTAGTGTTTTTCACACATTTATGGCCTGTTTCTCCACTAAATCAGTCATCCATTCAAAAAATATTTATCGAGAGCCTACTGTATGGCGAGACACTGGATTAAACCTTCAACATACGCCAATAGAGCAAACAGACATAAACAATCCCTTATGATGAGCAAGAGCAGACAGTAAACAAGTGATTGGATAAATACATTATCAGAAAGAGTTGAAATGCCATAGAGAAATAACAGGATGGATGACCTTACAGGCCTGAAGTATATGGATGGCCAGGAATGGTCTTTGTGAGGGGTAGTATTACAACTGACCCTGAAGAGTGATTTGGAGTTGGCCAGCAAAGAAGACAGAGGGTCTGAATGAGAAGTTCTTCAAGAGGGCCTAGATGTGCATGATAACAGGACAGAACACCCATTATGAGTAAGCCTTTTAACAACACAGCACATGGTGTGGCAGGCTTTTCACATAGGCAGTTATCTTCCAGATGCCCAAATAAGGACTTTTATAAAGCCCCAGTTATGGTGAGTACATTCATCTCATTTGACACTTTTCACTGTCTTTCTGATAGCCAGTTTCCTGAACCTAAATCCGTAGAGGCCTGTGTTCATGGCAACATAAGGCAAACTAAAGTAAAAATAGCTATGCTCCCACAGACATTCTTTAAGAAGTAGTTTTTCTAAACTTTTCAAGTTTATGGGAACTTGACAAAAATCTGTGCCCTGAATCTAAAGGTTTTTATAATTTATTTGTTAAATACTATCCAACATTACAGCTGTGTTTCAAAACTAAGGACAAAGGAACTCATAACTACAACCACGGAGAAGTGCCAAGAATTTAACTACACAGGCTAATTAAAAGGCTAAAATGGATCCTGTGGCAAGAAAATGCAAAGATTATAGGTGGGCTGAGTAGGTGCTGTAGATGGAAGGTAAAATGGAGCACACAGCCCTTCTCATGAAGGCTCTGAGTTTTGAACATGAGTAAAAAATTTATTTTGCAAAGAAAAGGTCTTATTTTGCTTGGGGAATTGTGGGGGAGAATGGAGGAGCCCAAACCATTATTACACATTGACTCATCCCAGTCTTAGAGGGAGATAGATTTTTCCTTTTGTTTTTCTTCCTTAAAGAACATAATTACAAGTTATATGATCTATCCAGTGCCTTCTTTCTCTGTCCAGATTTTTCCATGACTATAAAATTACCTTAATGGTTAAAATTGCTTTCAATGTAATCATCATGAATTCTAGGGTGGAATGCTGATTAAAGCCATTTTCTAAGGGATTACTTATGCTTCTGAATTTCCTAAATCCCACTTAGGATCAGAAAGACCATCTTTGAGTTAAAAATATAAATTGCCTGCTATCATATTCCAAATTATATCATAGCAAAATGACATTACAATTACGAATATTTTGTGACTTGAATTTTCTAGCTAAGCAGAAAATTCTAGCTAAGCTGTGAGCACTAAGTAAGTCAGGAAACTGTCTCAAGCCTTGTTAAAAATTTTCTAAAAAAGACTAATCTCATCTAAATACAAGAAACAGAAGAAGAAAAGATTAAGCCACAAAAAAAAAACACACACACACACACACACACATAAGTGAAAAGTGTAATGGTTTCCTAGGAAAAGAAATAACTAAAATTCCATTCATTTCAGTAACTAAAGTTCCATGACTATTTTAAATACAACAACCCACTGATCCATTGAACACATGCATTAATAATAAAACATATTCTAGTCAGGTACTTGTTAAAGAAGAGAACCTGGAAATAGAAAAGAAATGGGATACAAAGAAAAACATAAAGGAAAATAAAGATACACAAGCACAAAAAAAAATTACAAAAAGATAGCTCTCCTAGGCTTCCCTAGTGGCACAGGGGTTAGTTTCAGCACTGTGATGCTATCCGGCCACTGCAGCATGAATTCAATCCCCGGCCAGGGAGCTGACCCACAGACACAGCAGACCTCTCCTGTCTCCCTGTTGCTCCCCTCAGCAGTGCATTTCAGTCAGTCCGCCTGTTCTACTCACCACTGTCTCTGGTGAATATTCTCACCCCCACTCCTCACAATACCCCTGGCCTATACTCTAGCTTTTATATGCATAAATAAATAAAATAAATCTTTTGAAAAACATGTCTTTCCTAGTTGCACAAAACCAGCATTTTGTACTGCCGAAGTATTTAAGATATGTTACATTTTTATAACCATTAGCAAAAATAAGGATTCTAAATTGTTGGCATTTACACTAAAGACTAAATAGAATTTATGAAGAATAAAAACCTCTTTACCTCTGACCAAAAAAAAAAAAAAAAAAAAAAAGAATAGACCCTCAAGCAGTATTTTACTTTCAGAAATTAATTTATTCATCTAAGCTCATTGACCTGTGCTCCTCCTGACCTAAAACTCAGGCTTGTGAAAGTGCGCTGAAGCACATCTACATTTAAACAGGTCAGCACTTCGTGGGACACAGGTACACATGCAGCCCCATACTGCTTTACCCAGGCAAAATCAAGTATAAAACATTCCAGTTCACTGATCTCAGAACCTCTGAGCACTCTAACTCCCCATGCAGTTAACGTCCAGAGGTTGCAAAGCCAGGACCACCTGCCACTCCCTGGTAGTATCTCCTGTGGTGAAATGTGACTCTGCCTCTAGCGAGTCAGTGTTGGTTAGGTTCTGGGAGCCACTTACTGCCATGTGCCCTCATCCAGCCCCAGCTGCTCCTGTCAAGTGGCACGAATAACACAGGCCTGGGAATCAAAGGTGTTAGACGCCTATCCTCTCCTCACCCCTAACTGGCAAGTCATTCGTGTTTCCTCATCTGCCTCAGAAGGCTGCTATGAGCACTAAATAAGAGAATGTTTGCAAGCTACTTAGACATGAGCCTGATGCCCAGGGAGCACTCAATAGAGGGTGGCTCATACTGCCTCTACTAAGCTGAGACCGTCGTTACTCATGTGAAAGGACAAACCATTTAAACATTCTTAAAATTATTTTCTCTAATTTCTGAATAACTCAGTAGGCCTTTCTACCTTTAACTTCCTCATCAGTCAATACCTGCTAATGTGGGCGGAGACAGGAAAAAAGTTAAACTCTACTTATTGAGCCCAATGTAAAGCCACCGTGGTGTTTCTGGTGGGAAAAGAAGTTGGGACATGAAGGTCCTGGCCACTACCTGATACCCTGAGAGGTGAATGAGTAAGGGGGAAGAGAAGCGCCCAGGGGGAGAGAATACTAATTCACGCTGGCTGTCTTCAAGCTGCGGCCACTGCTTCCCAGGTACAGAGGTCTCCAACTCTTCTGCACAAGGGTGGCAGGGCCCACTAGGTGAAAGGAACAAAAGTCATGGAGGAAAGGGAGCTCCTTGTCCTTCCTCATCATCAGGTACATATCCTGGGACAAGTTAGACCACTTCTACACTTGCAATGTGGCTATTAGCGGCACGTCCTCCAAAGTGCTCTGCACAGCATGTGGCATGAAAATAGTGCTTGGCAAATGGTGGCCATAGTTCTATATTGTCACTATTAGTTTTTTATAAGCCACCACTACCTATGTGAACAATGTAGAACTGAATCAATGAGAGGTTAACAGCTTGTAACAGGAAAGGTCTCAGGCCCTTGGGTAGTGAGGGCAAAGTGGAGACTGGAATGCAATTTGCCCTTTTTCCTGAGGTCTGGCTCTCCCCCTGCTCTGCACTCCCATGAACACACAGACTTCCCTGCATTTACTGGGAATGGGCCAGCTGGCCAGGGGAGGCTAAGGAAGCTGCATCCTTCCCATGTGCTCCACTGGCCAGCCAGACCATAGCAGTCTGCCTCTGAGGACTCACTTTGGAGAAGGAGAAATTCAAAAAGAAGACACTTTCATGGGTTGAGGAGGGAAAGGGGGGTCTCATTTGAGCCCCTCACAGTTGGATGTTAATGTTTGCCAGAGGCTACTAAAGTTATAAAATGCTAACACATGTCTGGAAGACAAGGCCTATTAAACTTGCCTTTTTCGGATTATGTTTTTCTCCTGAGTTATATTTTAAGAGGCAGCAAGACAGAAATCATTCCCTGCCTCTAAGCAATTAGCGGGCTGGAAATCCTACCTGCAAGAAGCCAGGACCTGTTGTCCCACATGCCCATACCCTGGCAAGGGCCCAGCTCTTAAGTGCCAAGTTGTGCTGGATACAACCATGGGAATGGCCTCAAGGTCAACCTACCTTGGGAACAAGATACTGTTGATCTGTACAGGCCAGGACGTAGGCCTCTGCCCGGCCCAGTTCACTCTGGGGGAAGTGGGCATTCATCTCATCTCCATCAAAGTCAGCGTTATAGGCCTTGCAGTTGGCATAGTGCAGTCGCAGGACTTTCTCCTCAGGCAGGATGCGGGCATGGTGGGCCTGAATGGAGGGTCTATGCAGGGTGGGCTGTCGGTTCAGTAGGAGGATGTCTCCGTTCTTCACATGCCGGCACACCTAAGGGCAGAGTGGAGAACAGGGTGGGTGACCAGCAGCAACTTTAGCACCATTGTTACTATTCTTAGGGCTTACCTCAGCCTGGCATGAGTGTGACTTCTAGAAGTTAGCTCATGTTTTATTTAACTGAATAAAAAGGGAATTTTTGGTATGGAGCAAAACCCTAGAGAAAGGGCTCTGAGGCCCCTCTGGTACATAGTTACCAGCCCGACAAACCCTGATCTTGGTTCAGAGGTTCAAGAAACTGACAGAATTATAGGCTCTGTTGAGTAATCTATCTTCTTCAGAGATAGATGGCTTTTCCACAGTCTAACCTGAAGAAGGCTCCATAGAACTAACCTGAAGAAGGAAATAGACCTGAAGACAGTACATCTGTATGCAGCCACAAAACCCCTAGGCTTGAAAGAACACTGAACCCCACAGTCACACATGAGTGTGTTATTGTAAATACAAATTCTACATTTTAGAAATACCTTGTCCAACCTCATATAACAGGGCCAGGACTGGGACATGGGGTTCTTGGTTCCCAGTTATAGTCCTCTGAAACATTTTTATTGCACTTAAACCCTTACCAAGAAGTTTAAATTACTAGAGTGTTTGGGGGAAGCAATTTGACAATGGCCATCAGAACCTTTAAATCACATTTCCTTTTGAACTTTCAGAAGGAAAAGGTGTTAATATAAGGCTAAAAGATCATGTACATTTATGTAGCAGAGATAACCATGGCAAAAACTGGAAATAATCTGACTGTCCCACAGAAGGGGTATGGGTGAACAAATCACAGCATCCACACCCTGGAATATTATATAATGATTAAAAAGATTGGGTTAAATCTATACTAGTTCGGAAATGAAGGTATTCTAGTAAAAAAAAAAATGTGTGATCTAATACGATAAGATAGGTATTTAAAACCCAACCTGATTCTGTGTTTATATAGTCAAGGGAAAATCATGCTTGGTGGCTGTTACTACAATCTTATCAAAGGCATGGGGTTCATGGGAAAGCAAGACATCAATTGGTGTCTCTACTTCATAAGGCTCAGTACTGTTCCTGTTACAATGAGCATTTATTATATCTATAGAGTTTTTTTAAGGATCATCAACTGTTTTTAAAGAAAGCAAGAAAAGCAATATGTTCACTGGGGGAAAATGAGTGAAAATACAAACACTGAAATGAATGAAAATCACAAATAATTTTACTCGTTAAGTTAACCACTGTTAACACTGCTTTTTTTCCTTACCAGTATACCATTGGTCACATCATCCTAAAGAAGACCTCTTACCACAAAGCTGATTTTAATATAAGACTAACTTGTTAAGCCTTTCACTGACCTTTACCTGATGTTCTATTAACTACTGGGCTCCCCAAGTGATAAACAGAAATGCTACTTTGAAAAATAAATGCACGAAGGTAACTGCTACCCCAACTATTCTGCAAGCCCTCCAGATTAGCCGAGAGAAATTACAGACACAGAAACCATGGCTCCCTACTATCCCAAGTCCCCTCTCAGTCAGATCAGAGCAAACAAAAAATTTCTCCAAATCAAGTGTAGTCTTAATTTTGTACACATTTATAATTTGCACCAGAAAGTTGATTCCAGAGAGAGCTAACAGTTAGTAAGACATGCTCCCCACCTTCTTCGCCCCCTTCCTCTTCATCTGGGCCGAGAGTTTCCTTTGGCTCAGGCACAGGGAAGAGGGAAGAAAATTCCTTTAATTGTAAAAGGCAATCCTAAAATCACCTAGCAGGGAGTCAGTGTTTCTCCTCCCCAAGGAATTCAAGCCTTTTCTTGCCCCCACATCTATGTTTCCTAGGAGATCTGATCTGAGGATTCCCATGAGTGTCTATCCAGGACACGTCACAGAGCATAAACTGACTTTCAAGGTCTTATTTCTTTAGCCTCTCAAGGGAGAAACTGCCCAGACCCATGGCCCAGGCCCAAAGCCCCAGGCTGGGCCTCAAATCCAAGTCTCACAAATTTGAGATATCCTCTCGCATAAGCAAAGCTCACAGCTGGAAAGGCATGTAGGCCAGCTGAGCAATCACCAGCCAATTCAAATAGAAGCCTGGAGCACAGGACACTCCCAGTGCCAACCCAAACCTGAGACCCTTCCTTTCTCTTGTCTCGAAATAAATACTGCAGTGAAGATTAGTGTGCCCAGTGTGGGGATCAGGATTTTCAGTAGCAGACTAGAGCCAAAGATTTGCTTCTGACTGAGTGCTAGGCCAGGAAATGAGACTCTGTGGTCCTGACCACTGCCTCCTGATTTACACGGTTCAGGGGAAGGAAGAAAAATTTCACACCTCACAGGAGCAACAGGACCCTTGTGCCAGGCTATGCCCTTCTCATGGAACTGTAACCAACTTTCTGGTGCAACTTTCTAGATGTGTACAGCATAAGAAGACACTGGATTTGGAGTAGCTTCAAAGAGTTCCTTGTTCTTCTTACATCTATACTGGACTTTGGTCTCTCTAGTCACATCTCTCAATTCTTCACAGCATAGAGCTGGGCACAGTAGTTGCAAGAGAGGTCCCACTCTGCACAGAAACTGCACTGTTTACTATCTGGGCCTATGCTGAAAAGGTTTGTGGACCCCTGTGCTAGATGAGTAAGAGCTTTGCTGAGACCTAAGAGACTAGCTGGGCTGAAGGGCTGTGTCAAGGCTGAGGAGTGTGAAGGGTGAGTTGAGGAGTAAGAGTAAAGAAAATGCAGGACAATGTCATCAGGAGTTGAACTTCATGTTTGAAGGCAAGTGACCAGGTCCAGCTCACTCAACCTCACCATTTCAGAACCCATTTTAATCACTTTGCAACAACTGGCCAACACGTGGCAGTGAGGCCAACCTTTCCTGGACTAGAAATGAAGTGAAAGAAGTTCCCTGTGTAGCTGCCTCATCCCTACACTCCAATTATGTCCCAATATCTTTTTGCTTTCTCTTTCAAATGTCCTACTGCTGCTACTGCTTTACTGCCTCATCAGTCTCTGAAATCTGGCTCCTCCTACTTTGTTCAAACTACTGTCCTAGGTCACAAGTGTGTGACCTAGGACAAATCTTTCATTTGGACAAATCTCACTGTCTTTCCTCAGTTTCCTTACTCTTGTAAACTTTGTACTTTATCCCATAAATATCAACTATGCGCCCCAGAAAACAGACACCAAGGGGCTGGTTTTCACCTCAAAGAACACAACAATTCAATACATTTGCGGGGGTGGGGTGGTGTGGGGGGGATTGAGGGGTTGGGGTTGGTGGTGTATAAATGCAGGTAACAAATGGGGATTCTGTTAGTTATCATTGACAATTATCCCATAGGGCAGTTCTCAAACTTTAGCAAACAAAGGAACCCTTAGGAGAGTTTGCTAAAATTCCAGACTCCTGGGCCCCATTCCCAGAGATAACTTTATTAGTAGGGAGAGAGCATAAATGTGCATTTTCCACAAGCCTGGGATGCTGCTGTTGCTGATTTGCGGATCACCCCGAGCAACCCTATTCAAGGGCAGCAACTCCTTCTGCTTGGGGACCACAATGGCGTAGTGAGGAAACTTTCTTGAGCCCCAATGTGCAGTCAGTGCTGTGCCGTCTCTAGGAGTTCCAACTCCAGCTGGGAGGTAAGGAGAGTGCCACAAATCCCTAACAAACACCCACATGTGGGGAACGTCATCCTGAGAAGGCAGGTCTACTCCCACATGGGCACTCCCATGCTGATGGCTGGCAGTCAAGGGGAAGCCAGACAGGAGCTGGCCACAATGGCCCCTGACCAATGTGCTCACTACTCACGATTTTTGTGCCCTGGGGCTTAGGTGCCCCTGTGGCTGGTGTCAGGAGCTGTTTGGCCACTGCTTCCCGCTGGGTTAGGTCCACGGCGCTCAAGGCCGTACGACTGCCATCCTCATTGATAACCATGGAGGCTCCTGGATGTACGTTGGGGCCATTGATGACTGCTTGCCTCAGTTCCTGAACATTCCAGGGAGTAACTGGCTGAGGGTAGGTCAGTTTTGTGGCAAACACCTAGAAACAAGGAGATTCAAAGGGAGCAGAAAAAGTTACATGGAGTCAAAATCTGACAACAGGTGTGACCTTCTCTTCCCCCAAACATGGAGGTTGTACCTTAGCTAAAAAGATCTTTTAGGGATTAAAGCGACATCCTACCTATCTTCTTTAGAGAGCTAGTTTTCCAGATATGGTCCCTTAAAGAAATATTGGGCTCCTTTCCTAGCAGCCTGTCTAAAGAGGGTGCAGTTCACACATGTGAATTTCTTTAGCACATACTAAAACTTCATTATTTCTTCATCTGCCATTAGGAACAGAGCATGAACATTAGCTTTCGAGAGTGGTAAAAATCCCTGCCTTCAAAAACTACCACACGCCCCCTCCAGCCCAGCAAACATCACTAATTGATCATGGTCTCTGCAGTCTTGTGGTACATGAGAAAATGCAGGGCTTCATTTAATGCTAGGCCTGCAACATACTCCAAGAAAAATGAAATTCCTGGCTAAGAGTTTTTGAGTCAATTAGTATTGTAAACCCTAAGACACTTCAAAATGCACACAACTATGTCAGGGATTCTGAGAAAACCTGCCTAAGTGCCTTACTGAACTCTGTCCAAGGTTCTGTTAAGAGGCCTCCCCTGCCACTTACCCTGCACCCTTTCCCCTGGCCTGCCCTACTTTAGCCAATGCACTGGTCACTGACTGCCCTGAGATCCAAGCAAATTGGCTCTGAGGGTTGGGCAGGTTGAGCAGAGGGGCAACTTCAGACTCTCCTCAGAGGACAAGTCACTGCCAGATGAACCAAGATCTAAGAGAAGCCTGGCAACTTTGAAGGTGGAACAAGGCGGCACTAAAGGTCTCTTCCAAAGCTAGGGACACCCTAGGAACTGGGAGTTCCTAGAGTCAGCCCCACTATCTGTCCAGAGAACAACTGGTCATGGACTCTCCTCCCAAGACTTCTGACTCAGGAATGTCACTTCTGGGCTTCACAATGCGCTTCCTTGCCACACAATTCAGAGGCTTCTGGCTGCAGGTTCCCAGGAGATGATGGGCAAGGACTGAATGCCCTCTTGTATCTTTACACATCACCCCCTTGCCCAGGAAGATTGAGTGTGCCTGAGAGACACAGCAGCCAGACTGCACGAGGCAATCACAACACTTGTGCTCTGCTCATTACCAGGAGTCCCCTGAGGACAGAAATGGCAGTGTGTAAGGAAATGAGATTTTCTACGGAGAGAATTAAACCATCTTCACATTACTGACCTCAAGGAGGAAGCCTATTAAAGTCATACTGCTAACAAGCACCACATTTTGAACTGGTGGGGATGTGAGAAAAGAAGGCTGGCTCCCCAAGGAAACACTAGTGGTTGGAAGGGCCAAACCTCCTCCCCACAGGGCTGGGAGGATGGATGATAAGCACAAGCCTTTCTCCTAGGGTTCTTGCTCCTCCCTGGCAAACAAAGGTACACGTCCTTGCGTTCAAGTCAAGATACAAACATGAGATAGAGCTCCCCTCTTCTTTTGCCCTCTTCAATTTGACTAAGCTAGTCTTAGCTTTTAAGCCAGGCCTGCAGGGAGGAAAGTAGAGGGCGGGGTTGTAGGATATCCAAAAGACCTGTTAAGCCGTGAAACCAATACTATCACAGCCTAACGTCCCCTCCAAATGGCTTGTCCAAAAGACGGCAACTGTGCCCACCCCACTAAAGCTACCACAATCTCTGCATACTGTTTCCCCAGACCTTCTAGACATTTCCATCTGCCACCCAACAGTAGCAAATGAGGGTCCTCTGCACAAACCATGGGAATTCCAATTTCATTGGTGTTGATGTACATGTCCGGGCAGATGACCGAGCGGGCGGCATAGTCAACTCGCTTTCCCATCATGTGCTTTCGGAACAAGCCTTCCTTCTTTTCAAGGATCTTTATGGGGAGAAAACGTCCACAGAAAGCATTAAAAAAAAAATGTACGCTGATTATTTTCTGATTTCAATATCAATGTTTACTATTTAACCCACTGCTCACCTGTCGAAGGGCACCCACTGCTCACCTGTCTAATGCCAGGGAACTTTTCCATCATTAATTTGTCCATCTCACTATCAAACACAATATTGACATGACTCTGAAGGCGAATCCAAATGTTATACAGTTTGTCTGTGAGTGACTGGCCTGGAAGCATACTCAAAAAGGATCGGTCTATAGCAATCGAAGAGTCTTTTTCCTGGCAAGACACAATGAAGAAAGCAGGCATGACGGAAACAACCTCTAAGAGGCCAGGTTTGGTTTTACTTTTGTTTCTTAACCCAGATTTGACAAATGATGAGCTCTGGAGCTTGCCTTTATGTCCCCTAAGCCCAAAGATCAGTGGCAAAAGTGCTAATAGGTCAATCTTATCAGTGTATACCAACGAAACATCAGTTCTATTATTGCGTATTCACTAGTAGTAAAATAAAAAACCTGTAAGCAGATTCTTTCCTTTTTTAAAAAACACTATTAACTCAGAGGTTCTATAAATCAAGAACATAGGCACAATGTAACTGGCTCTCTGCTTCCGTGTGATTAGGAGTGTGTCAGGGTTAGGGTGCCCTCTGAAGGTCTGAATAGGGAAGGGCCCACTTCGAGGCTGACATGGCTGTTGGCAGGACTCAGCTCCTTCAGGGCTACCCGACTGTGGGCCTCTGTTCCTAGCTGGCTGTTGCCCAGAGGCCACCTTCAATTAGTTCTCCAACCTGGGAGCTTGTTTCACCAAAATGTGAAAAGCAGAGAAAGTAATGGCTGAGTCTCTAACAGACTCCTTTCTTCAGGCAACTGCTAAAGTCACTTGATGTTTAATTTTTAAGGCAACCCTACAAATTCTTCCCACATCAATATTCTTTTTATGAAGCTCTATTATCCCACCAGATAACTGATTCTCATATGGTTTCAACTTTATGGTTTTGGGGAAACATGCTGCAAGCAGTTATAAAAATCCAAGTGGAAAAATTTTGTAAAATCCTGCATTATGATTTTCTTCATCACGAATTGAGATGCATGTCCTCAGCTGAGACAATGTTAAGGTACTGGCTGGTCTCCAAGCCCCACCACAATGTTTAAGATTAATACTAACATTTCTGTCCTGAATATTCCTGCCTTTAACCCTACCTCTTCTTCTTTTCCCTCTACCTGCCGAGGAGATAGGCCTGAAGATTTGAAGTGGCCTTAGAGCACCACCTACTGACACACTCGGGTCACCTGTTGGTCCCAATCAGCTCAGTGTTTAGCAGGAGACAAGACACATGACCCCAGGTGAGGCTCAGATGAGAGAAAAAAACCTACCTAGCAGTGTGTTAGGGGAGAGAAAGGAAAAGGCAGTTAAATGAAAATGCAATGGAGCCCATTTGTGAAGTGGGGTTGGCCTCAACCCTGAGCAGTAGGGATTCCTCTTTAGCTACAGGGAGGAGACAGACAAATTTCTGCGCTGGCTGAAAGAGACTCACAGGGAGACATGAGCACTGCACAATGACAGAGTCCTATGAGCCCAAGTCAATGCCCATACCTGGCTCAAGGCCACACAATCACTTGTGAAATAAACAAGACAGCCACATTCATTCCCAGGATCTAGAATAACGCCTGCCCTAGGCCAGGCACTCATGATTTGTCTGGGCTACCATGGAATGAAATGTAGGGAGTAAATGAGAAAAGATAAAAACAAGTCCTGTTAATTAGACAGCAAAAGGGCACCATGACCGCAGGTAAGGACCTTAAGAATCAGAGACAATACTGTTTATTTTTGTAACTCAGTTTTTGGCCTTTGTTTTATTATTTTTTCCCCTTAAAATGTTGTCCTATTTTCAAGGGACATCAAAATAAAATTTTAGTCTTGGTCACTATACCTGGTTAGTTATCCTAAGGCCTTTTTCCCCCCAAAACTGGACTAGCACTTGCAGATGTTTTTCTTAACAAGGTTTTTTTTTTTTTTTAAAGATTTATTTATTTATATAGAACTGGGGTACAGGCCAGAGATGTGGAGGGTGAGAGGATTCACCAGGAACAGAGTGGGGAGCAGAACAGGCAGATCGACGAAGTACGGGCGGGTCAGGAGAGGTCGGGTCAGGAGAGGTCTGCCACGCCATGTGGTCACCTCCAGGGCAGGCGGGGGTCGAACTCATGAGAAAGTGGCTTAAGCTTCTTAGTGCAGTGCTTTAACCCGCTGCGCCACCAGGGAGGGCCTTTAACAAGGATTTTTAAGGCACACCTGTACTGGCAGATCAAAAAACCTAAGCAAAACCAAACCAAACCAAACTCCCAAGTGGAAAAGCTGGGTAACCCAGAGCAAAGGGCCCAGGAGTATCAGTGGTGCCAACCAGTGATGGCCTGGTCAAAACCAAACTGTCCCAGCAGCTGGCAGGGAGCAGGAGAATCTACTGAAGACTGACACAGGCCTTCTTAAGTGCATTCAAAGAGCATTTTAAGAGTTAGGAAAGACCTCAGTGATTATCAGCAAACTTTCAGAGTGCCTGATTCATCTTTATACTCACTGAAAACCTGGTACAATGAAGAGGTTCAAGAAATGTTTGCTGAAAGGGGAAAACTGAATTCAACTCTTACCATTTGATGAAGAGAATGGTGAGGCCCTAATGCTGACAGTCCCATTCTGGGAAATTCCTGGAATTTACAATTACCTTCATCACCCCAATCCCGGAGACTTAAATGAGCCAACAGCAAAGGTCCAGTACTATAAGCCAGAGACAATCTTAAGAGCTCAAGGGAAGCAGACTGTTACCTCCCAAGATGCCAATAAGTACACGTTTTATGGTGGAGATGAGTCAGCGAAATTATAGCAGCTCAACCAAGATCACCCCAACATGGTCATCAGTCTTCCCAGGCTTCTCCCTAGTCTTACCTGTGTTCCTCCCAACCAACACAGAGCTATGCAGAATTCCCAGCCAGCATCTCCCAGCACCCACAGTCCTGCTCTTTCAACATGCAGTTAGAACTAAGCGTGCACACTAAGGAGACCAGTCGCATGGTAGTCCTGACCTCATCTGTGGCATAAGCCGACACCTCACATGGCAGCTCCTGTTCTTGGGCCATCAATGCCAAAAGCTTTCGGATCAGAACTATGTCCTTCATGACGGCCTGCAAGTTCACGGTCTGGCCGTTGGTAAACATCTGGTCCCCCAGGCGATTGACAGGGCGATACCTGCAGGGAGACACAGCATCGGGGAATGTTTAGCAAGGGAGAAGGGTCATGCTCTTCAGTCGCTCACCTATCCCCACGACAAGCAACTTCCATATCACCATACTCAAAGAAAAACGCCACTAGCTACCCCACCTACTGACACTCTCAGGTCACCTGTTGGTCCCACTCAGCTCAGTATTTAGCAGGAGACAGACACATGGTCCCATGTCCCCAGATGAGGCTCAGAAGAGAGAAGACGCCTACCTAGCAGTGTTAGGGGAAAGAAAGGACACAGAGGAGACTCTCCCACAACCTGAATCCTGGCAACACTACTGCTGCTGTACTTCTCAGTGCCCTTGACCCTTCCCATCTCTTCAAGTGGTCACTATTCAAATACTCAATAAACCTTTTCCAGGTGGAATAAAGTCAATTAAAGGGCATTACCGTGAGGGTGGCACTACCAAGAAATCCAGAAAAAACATAGTGGGATTAAATCCAGACTCCATGCCAACTTCTGTCAGTCCCGAAAACAGATAATTCAGAAAGAATCCTGTGTATGAAATAAACCAAAAAGATCATTTACATCTACATGGAAGGGTACGCTGGATGAACAGGAAAATTTTAATGAGTGAAATAAAACAATATATGATAATATATACAATAGCATATAGGATAATATATAGAATTACTGCTAAAAATAATTTAAATGAGCAAATCAGCCTCTGGGTGTCAAGCGACTGCACACAGTTGAGATGACAGTTTCAGGATGAGCATTAAGGGACAATAGTGCTGAGTCCAGGAACCGAGATAGGGAGGGATGGGAAACAAAAAGTTTCACTTATTTCTTATTACTTCCTCGACTACTAAATGCTCTCATATACGTCTCTGGGATTTATTTTTACAAATATTTTTTAAAAAAGGACAAGGAAACCAAACCCTAAAAAAAAAGTTTTCTAAAAAGCAAATCAAGAAACCCTGCAGACGCTACCAACAAGGGCTCTTCTATGGAGCAAACTTATGTTTTAAGTTTCTGATAGCCTTTTAAAGTCTTCTATTAACCAGCATTAAATGAGTTACCAATAAACCTTCTAGAAGCATGCCAAACTATAGTGAGGCCCACATGCAGCTGTCATTTAAAACCAGGTTATTGTTACATAACTGTCAAGTTCATGGTTCCAGATAACGATCTTCTCCACTTTGTAATGCATAATGATATTGTATTTTGAGGCTATCTCCAACCTTTGAGTCAATTTCAAGAGACCTGTAGTAGGCTCTCACCAGTGGCCTAGAAGTTAAGGCTCAGTGCTATCACCCCAATGGCCTGAGTTCAATCCCTGGCTAAGCAGCTAACCCACAGATGGCACAGCAGACTTCTCCTGGCAGCTGTTCTCAGTGTATTCAGCACATCTGCACTGTACTTCAAATCCACCTGTTCTACTTCTAACTCTTTTTCTGGTGAATTCTTCTAGCCCCTTTTTCCCCCCACCTCTGGCCTACACCTACACCCCAGTATGCAAAAATTAAAAAAGAGAGAGCTATAATATGTGCAACTCTGAAAAATTAAAAAGGCAGGTAAAGTCAGGAGAAGAAACAGGGCTACTCTTTGGGCTGAAACAGCACCTTCATTCTTCCAAAGGGCAATGAGATGTTCCTGGGCACTGCTGGGTGTGAGGTATCCTCGTTTTCCCATCTGAGCATCCTCAATCCCTGGAGCTGAGGAGAATCACACAGTAAGACATTAACAAGACTTCAACTTAGTGACAAAAATCAGCCTTTAAACATATTCTCAGCTCTGGGTTCATTTTCTACCCAATCAAATTTGTAAAGCATTTTTTGAAAACAATAAAATACTGTATAAAACCTAAAAAAAGTAAAAAATAGAGAAGAAAAAACTATTCATCATTCCACTACAGTATCACTATTATCACTTTTATATATTCCATTCACTGGTTTACTCAGTTTTAAACTTGGTTTATTTTATATTCTATTCTGCTCACATAGTGTCATCTTGTGAGCACTCCTGCTGCTGCCACAGAGTTTACGCCTAACCATCATTTTAGTAGTTGCATGACATTCCATGAAGACTACTACTAGACTATTACACAACACCCTGAGTACGTTTAATTCTTGGGATGTCAGAGAAGTGCAAATGCTAGGTCAAAAGTCTCAAACATTAAAAATTTTGGCCCCCAATAAAAGCAAAGCATTTCAACCAGTTAATGTCACTGAAAGCAGTATGGGGTGCAGTGAAGAGCAGTTCTGACCGGTGGGGATAACCAGCATTAGAAACTACGTGTGGCTGGTGGGAAAACAACAGAATTGTTACCCTGAAGAACTTTGTTGGCATCTCTGGAACCACCTTCTGAGTTTTCTTTCCTAGCAGTTTGATGAGCAGTTAAATATGACAGTGGCCCCCAGTTCATCCTAGCAGTTGCCAGGACACAAGTGTCCCCTCACCCCCTTGCCATTTAGTCACTGTGAAGGAAACTGGAATTGGTCAGTCTCAGGACTTGAGTCAGAAGAGAACTGCAGGTTGCCTCTTCCTTACATGAGCTACATCCCTTCTATTGCAAAATGCAATCTGCCTGACTGGGGCTCTAGAGCATCTCTAATGTGGGTTTAATTCAGCTGTAAAGACATGTAAAGAAAAAGAATTTGAGAGGTCAAGTAACCTGAGAAAGATTGAATCACAATGGTTAGAGTGCTGGCTGTTAAGAATTCTCCTTTGAAAAAGCTATTGTACATTATGGGGATTGTGGGCCCACTTGAACATATGCAGCCTTTTACAAGCTTAAGGGGCTCCTTTCGGGATCACCCGTGTGTGGGACCACTGAGGTTTAAGGAACATGGCGAGACCTGCGCTCAGAACACTCATCTGCTTCCATCTGACCTGACCCTAGAGTTAAGTGATCTGAGTCACCTGCAGCCTCCTCTAAGAGCAGAGGTCATGGCCTAGTTTCCACCTTGGACCCATACTCAGTCACAGATATGGTCCTCGGCAGGAAGCCAAGTGCTCAACAAGTAAATGTTAAATACCAAAAACTGGAATCACCAAGACTACTATCAATATATTGGTAACACGCATCTAATGCACAGACTTCTGGTTGGCATTATATTTTCATAGCTACAGTGAAAACTCATTTCAAAGAATGGATTTTGCAAAGGGATTGAAAGGGTAACTGTTAGTCATTAGCTCCAAAGAATTAATTATCTTCTGGAATTTTACATTTTTTCTTAAATCGATGAATGTTTTCTAAGATACTATTTAAGGGCTATCGTTGCAATTCTCAAACCTGAAAATAATTTCAGGGTCAGTTATAAGAAAGAGTAATCACCCTTTTGTTAGTTAGCTGTCAACCATTAAACAAGCTTTCTAAATGCAGTGTTGTATCCTAAGTAGAATCCTAGAATATAAGAAAGACATTACTGGCAAAACTAGTAAAATTCAAATAAGGTAGATCAGCTAATGATACTGTGCTAATTTCCTAGTTTTGACAAACGCACCACAGTGACCTAAGATATTTTATTAAGCAAACTGAATAAAGAGTACCTAGACTCTACTATTATCTGTTTTATCTTTTTAATACTTTCATCTATAATAAAAGGCTTATTAAAAAAAGAAACACAGAGATTTGCTACTATTATGATCTAGCGTTTTGTGTCCCCTCTGACTTCATATACTGAAATCCTAGCCCCCAAAATGATAGCACTGGAAGAGAAGGCACAGTGATTAGGGAGGTGATTAGGTCATGAGGGCAAAACTCTCATGATTGGGACTGCTGTCCTTATAAAAAGATCCAGAGAGCTCCCCCTGGCCCCTTCAGACCAGGTGAGTTACAGGGAATATATAGCCAACAGGAGGAATCCAGCCCTGAATAGACAACAAACCTATTGAGCACCACAATCTTGGGCTTCCAGACTCCAGAACTGTGAGAAATAAATGTTCCTTGTTTATAGTGACTGAATGCCAAACCTTGACAGTGCCGTTGATGTAAAAGCTAGACTATACATCTCCAGGATGACAACTTATTTACCTGCCCATCCCATATACTTGAGCCTAGAATAAGGTTTAATAACAACAAGCAATGAACAATCTTCCAGGAAAAAGTCACCTCAGGCAAAGAGGCATCTCAATCAGAACTGCCTTAGAATGTAGCTTGGTCTGTCTGTTCTGCTGCATGAGGCCAGTCCTGAACACTCACCAGGATCCCTCCCTCCAGCACTCAAGAGACTTCAACACTAGGACAGTGTCGCCGCTGGCCCATCACAAAGAAACAGCTAAAGAAAGATGTAACACAGAGGCCTGGGTTCTCCCAGCGTTTGGGATACACCTGAGGGTTGTACATTCAAAACATGGCTGAGACCACCCAAGGTCCAGGCTGCTTACCCACAGGCTCTGTGCCTTTCTGGTCAGCTTTTCTATGCACCATGGCTGGGTATGTGATTGTCAGTTTGCTGTTGTGCTCCTTTCGGACAATAGATCTCCCAGTCCTAGACATGCGGATGGTTGTGATTGAAGAGAGAAAAGCCAACAAGACGTTTAACAACTGTGACCGACCAGCCAGATACTTGTCACCTGGAGGGGAAAGCCAGCAGCAGTACTCACTTGCACTGGGGACATCGCTTGGCAGACATATGTGCCTTCCAGAAGGTAGTAATGAGCTTGCTTCTACTCTCACAGACATTTTTCACCTGTAAGAAAGATCTGTGAACCTTGGAGTGCCACTTGGAAAAGAATCCAGTATGAATTCATTTGTGGGTTTTCACCTTTTTGGAAAAACCTCAAGAAGCCACCTTGCTTTGTTAAACAAAATTTCCTACAGAACCCTATATAGCCAAGCTCTGCCAATTACTGAGTGCCTTCTTCACAAGTTTAGAGTCCTCATTCATAATATGGGAAGAACCATTGTACAGAGCTGCTTCTAAAATTTAGATAGTGAATGCGGTGGGGAGTTTGGAACAAAGTATTCAATAAAGGCTAGTTATCTTAGATTAAAACAAACCTCTCCGAATGTAGCTGGTGAGCCCTCCCAGCTGCCTCCCTCAGAAACACCTCAGGGGGCTAGGAAAGGCACATCAATCCATAAGTTTCCTGAGTTTGGCTGTAAATAAGACACATATGGGAGATTTTGTAACCATCACTTGGGCCCTATCCCACACCAGTTAAATTACAATCTCTGGTGTGAAACTTGACACTGTTGGTTACCTATACCATTCATTATTCGTCCACTGAGCAAACACTTACACAGGGTGATGGGCATGAGAAGGCAACAGTGGTTTATAGTGTTGAGAAGAGAAAGAAGAAAAGGACATGGGCCCATTCTCAAGTGAGACTGTATGCCACACCTTGCTGGATGCTGGACTGAAATCACCTATTTTCATTTAACACTCTCATGGGTCCTAAAGATCAGGAAACAGACTCAGGGTCAAATAAGTAGCATGTGAGGCCAGACGTCTTATAAGAGGCAGAAGAGGGAGTCAAACCCAGGTGTACCGCGGGAACGCACAAATGACAGTACAGAGAAAACTGGTGAGCTGCTAAGTCACAGAGTTCCAAAAATGAGACAGGATAACTCACGTGTGCACCATGGGATCCTAGGAGATTGTTCTGTAAAATTTTGTTTGTGTATTGTTCTAACTCTTCCTGAATTTCAAAGCCAGTGGGATCGGCATTTTCTTCTAGAAACTGAAAAACAAGAAAACCCTATTGCTGCAGTAAACTGAGTGCATGATTTAGCAAGGAGCCTGTGCCAACCTCTCCAAATAGGGAGAGTTTTACTTGAAGGAAGAAAAAGAAATCTCACAGCTGTTGTGTTAACTTTCAAATCACTATTAAAAAATCTAATGAGAGACTATCCTGCTTTGATAATGGCGGGCTAGATTATTCTTATCAAATCTAAAACCAGAAAAGACCCAAAATCTGATAAAATGTTTAAAATTAAAATATTTTTCTAAACCTCTGAAGAACTCACAGGTCAGTGAGGAATAGGCAGGCGAATCTAAAGGGAAACCAGACCCCAGGCCAAGCCGCTCGAGGCTGGGAAGGCTCCAGTGCGGCACAGCTGCAGACCAGCCCTGTCTGCAGTCAGGCCCTGTGGGGAAGATACTGACAGGCTTTCAGAATGAGGCCTGGAGCTGTGTCACATGGCAGCCCCGGCCTTGTGGGCAGTTTCCACTTCAGTAATTCTGAAATTTTCTTTTCATTTTGAAGGTCTCTAGTGATGACAGGGACAGAAAACAAAACCTACAGGTGGCATGAAGACAGGAATCTCACAGGCTCCCTTCCCTCCAATCACAACACATAACTACAGGAAGCTGGGAACCTCTAAGAACTACCCCTTGGGGGCCAGACCAGATCTCACACAGACCAAACAGCCCTGCAATCCAGTTGGCCTTAAGCTTTAGCCTAGACTATGATGGTCCAGGCCACTAAGCATGTGGCAGAAACAAGAAGAAACATCTGGATCAAGGTAGCAGCACTCTTTGCGTCAATTATTCCTACCAAATTTTTTTACACTGAATGATAAACTGCCAAAAAATAAGCACACAAGGACAGGGGGAAGAGGAGTTTCTGTGGATATGGATATTACCTTGACATTGAAGGTGACTATATGGGTTCTGGTTACTTTGTAACTATTATTTGATAAAATGGTTCAATTAATACATTTCTGTGTGTATTTTACAAAAAGATTGCTTAAGGCAGTAGGCATCACAAATTTTCTGTCAATAAATTTGAAACTTTAGATAAAATGAACAAATTCCCAGAAAAATATAACCTATTTTGAGTACATGTTTTAAGGAAATCCTGCTTTCTCTCTCTTTTGGACAAATCTGATCTTGGGTTAACTTTTTAGCTCTGTTCCCTGAACTTAATAAAATGGAAATCTCAATTCTGTTAGCAGACAGAGCTGATGTAAAAATGACTTTGATAGGTTATACTGCATCTGAAATAGAATGTCAACAAATTAATTATAAAGACCTAATGAGAAACCACAACTTGAACTTTTATGATGATACCTAGGTGTGTCCTTGAAGATTTCTGGAAACTGGGTCCATAAAACGGTCACAAAAGTTCTGACTCCTATTGGGGGCGGAAGGCTTCTAAGGCCAAAGTGGCTACTATATTTACTGGGGCGAGCTCACTCTTTCAGGTCAACTTGTGAACCCCTTCCTCACCCTATTTGCGCTCTGACATCTCAAGCTGGGGAACCAGCACATGTACCTTCACCTGACCTGGCTACCAACATTCTCATGCTGAGCCTTTATCCTTAAGCAATTATCTCCCTTACCTTACCTGAGCTCTGACACTGCATGGGCAGCCCCCCAACAGGGACGCTCTTCCCTTGAATGCTTTACCCCTCTTGTCTGGGCTCTTACAACCCACATGTGGCAACACCTCTGTGTAGAATCGTATGTGCTCTGTTTAGCTAAGCTCCTTAAAACTGAATGATTCAGGGAAGGGAAGGCAAAAGGTTTTCTTTTGAACCAAGAAAAAAAAAATAAGGATGCCTGGATGCTTCTAGCCCTTCAGCATAGTAGATTCTAATATGAAAATAAAGTGTTAAGACAGAAAGACAAAACTATTATTGTTTACAGTTAAGACTGTCGAAAATGTAAAACAATCTAAATATCAGGACACTTTTGCTAGGTGTTTCATACAAAAAACAATACACAAAGATCAGTAATATTTTGCTCTATAAATACAAAATAAATGAACTATATTAACAAAACATTTCTAAAACCCAGAAGCTTAGGTGATTATTAATCACACACAAAAATATCTTTTTATGGTAGAGAGATGGTGGTCACACCTTACCCAAGTAATGAAATGCAGTAAGATCAAGAGTGGGCTACCCACACAGCTAATGCCTGGTAAAATGATGCCTATCTAATGCCATGTATATTGTATTCTTACCAAAATATGAATATTATGAGGAAATAATCAGACAAATCCTCTAACACAACTAGTTTTAAGTTATCTCTAGCCACCTACCCTATTCAGAATTCTCTCCAGCTCGTAGACTGCTTGCAGTGCCCCAACTTCCAGAACTTTCAGCTGGCAGACTAAGAGGTGAATCACAGCCCGGGGGCAAGTCAACATGTGACAGTTTAAACAGGAGCCCCTAAGCAGTAGGTAAAGTTTCTGAAGAGAGGGAATAAAAAGAAACAAGACATCAGGCAGACACACAACAATCAAAGTGATTTTTAAGGCACTTAAAATTTATTTTAATGTAGTCAGCTTCTTTAAGATTCCCACTTCATCCTTTATAACTAGAAAGGCCTACTGGACCCAAATAACTAGATAATTATTCCTCTACATATTTTCTTATGGTTTCATTTTAATCCTTAAAATCTGAAATTTATTTTGGGTCCAAGATGGGGAGCAACATTTACTTAACTGTGTTCTAAATATTAAATTTAGTATTTACTTAAATCATTAAAATATGAGCCTAAACACTTTATAAAGTATTTAGCTAAATATTAAACTTAAGAATTTATTTTGTAACAGAGACAATTCTTTTCCCTTAATATGATTAACAGACAAAAATCAAGTCAATGTACCCTATCATTTCTTATCTTAAAACAAAACTCAGAGTCTTGTTAACTGATATAAAAAGCTGAAAATGATCAAGTAAATCTCTAAAAACTGGAGCTTCATTTTTTTCTTTAAAAATTTTTTTTCGGCCCTCCCTGGTGGCGCAGCGGGTTAAAGCACAGCACTGAGAATCTGAAGCCACTTCCGCATGAGTTCGATTCCCGTCTGCCGCCTGCCCCGGAGGAGACCACATGGCGAGCCAGACCTCTCCTGACCCGCCCGCTGCTCCCCTCAGCAGTGTACTTCGTCAATCTGCCTGTTCTGCTCCCCACTCTGTCTCTGGTGAAGCCTCTCACCGTCCCTGAGCCTCTGGCCTGTACCCCAGTTCTGTATGAGTAAATAAATAAATCTTTAAAAAAAAAAAATTTTTTTTTCCCTTTTTTTTTAAAAATTGAGGTGTGGAGCTTCATTTTAAGCTCATTGCTGGGCCTTCTGCAACTCTGTTCTTCCTGCCACCACACTTGAGCATATAAACCAACCCAAAAGCTCAGGGTGGTTTAGAGAAATCTAATAGTCCCTCTATTGCCAGGAAGGGTCACCTGGACTTCTGAAGGACATGATGTCCCTGAAACAAAGAGCAGGGATGCATCCCCCTCAACTATCCGTGAGAACAGAATCAAGTGATGGCTCTTTCTCAAATGGAACCAAACTGATATTTACTTAGCGATAACAGTCAAGCTGATGTATTAAAATTGGCTCCTCGAGGTTTAAAATCTCATGGTAAAGAGTACTTTAACTCAAAGTGTCCAGAGCGAACCTCCTCAGATACCACCTGTCATGAGAGGGGTGGCACTCACAAATCCCACCAGCACCCCTGAGACCTTCGCATGAGGGGAGAACATACATCAAAGAGGAGAGGGTTGTACACTGTCAGTGGGAGCTCAATGTGGCCCAGGTGCCCCGAGCAATTGTTGAAGTCCTGCACGCAGGTGGCGCACACTTCTTTGGAATCTGCAGGGCCTAACGCCAAATCATAAAGGCCATTCACTGATGGGTTCCCGAGGCTGTCCAGGTACCGAGGATTTGTAATGGCTTTAACACTTAGTTTCCTAAAAAGACAAAGAAGAACATGGGTTACCCAACATCTCAAATGTTTCCTCTTCAGTGTTTGCAAAACTATTGTCAAGTGATAATTTAATGTCTATTTCTTCAGACACATGGATAGCTTCAAAGGATAGAACCTGTATCTGCCTTGTGAACCTCCACTGCTCAGTACTTAGCACAAAGCCTGCTCACAGCTATTACTCAAGAAATACATCTAAATGACTAAGAGCAACAAAATCTTTAAAGAAATAGATTCAGTGCAAACCTTGCACATTGAAAACCTATTTATTAAAAAAGTTAAGTAACACCACTTAAGTGCTCTAAAAATAGCATTTAGTCTTGACTTCTGAGATAGGCATCACTATCTGTAATCTTCAGAGGAGGAAACAGGCTCACAGCAATTGGGTAGATGTAATCCAAGTAACAGATGGAATGGGGATAGGGAGAGCAGGAAATAGACCACACTAACTGGCCAATATTGACATGCTGGTCAATAAAGAGGATTTCAACCAATGACCCCTGACTGTAGGAATAACAAATTAAGGAAAACTGAATACAAATTTGCAAACTTTGAAATAAAGAAATAAAAGCTGCTTTACCATTGGAGTTTATGCTTGGACATAAACTTTCCTCTCACTAAAATTATATTCATGTCATGTTTGCTTTTGAAACTTTGTTTTGATTTAGAAAATAAAAATAAATACAAAGAACCCATTCAAACCCCAAAACCTAAGGAAAACCAATATACAACATTCACAGACCTTTTCCTACAGGTAAATTTTCAAAAATGGTAACTGGGATCATTTTGTATTTCTCATTTGTTTTTCATTTAGCGTAAAAAAATGTAACTGGGATCACTTTGTATTCCTTATTTGCTCATTTTTATCTAGCATCACTGAGTGTATTTGTCATAAAAGTTCCTTGGAAACATGATTCTTAACTGTGTCAAAAATATTTCATTATATGGCATTATATTGCAGCTCACAGAAAGAACATGGCTTTGGGGTGAGAAGGATCAGAGCTTTAAATCTGTTCTCAACTAAGAGAAAGTTCAGGGAAATGGGTTTTCCAGAACATTAGAAAGCTGAAAGTATGATCCTACTTAGAAACACGGGGCACTGATTCCACACACCTGCACAAATCACCTGAGGACCTACTGGTATAGTCTCAATAGAAAATGGTACGGACAGTCCCTAAAAAAGTAAAAATGGGAATGCCACATGATCCAGCAATATCAACGCTAGGTATATATTCAAAGAATCTGAAAACACCAATAAAAAAAGATTTATGTATTCCTACATTCATAGAAGTATTACTCACAAAAGCCATATATACAACATGCCCAATAATAGACAACTGGATAAAGAAATAATGGAATATATACTTAAATTGTGGACTGTATATCCATTTTTAAAAAAGATTTATTTTTGCATACAGAACTGGGGTACAAGCCAGAGGTGCAGGGGCAGTGAGAGGATTCACCAGAGACAGAGTGGGGAGCAGAACAGGCAGACCAATGAAGTACATGGCTGACAGGAGCAGTAGGTGGGTCAGGAAAGGTGTGTGGTGCCATGTGGGTCAGCTCCTGGGCTGGGGATCAAACTCGTATTGATGAAGCTGCAGCTAGCTTGCAGTGCTGCATCCTAACCTGTTGTGCTACCAGGGAGGGTCCTGTATACTCATTTAAAAAAAAAAAAAAGATTTAATTATGCTTACAGGGACTGGGGTACAGGCCAGAGGTGGGGAAGGGTGGGGTGAGTGGTGAAAGAATTCACAAGAGTGGGGAACAGAACAGGTAGTGACTGAAACACATTGCCAAGGGAAGTAGCAGGCTAGACAAGGAGAGGTCTGCTGTGCCATGTGGGTTAGCTCCCTGGCCTGAGATTGAACTAGTGTCACAGTAGTTGTGTCTAGCTTTTTAGTGCTGTGGTTTAACCCACTGTGCTTCCAGGGAGGGCCCCTATACTCATTATTAAGAACAACAAAACAGTGCCTTCTGGGACAGAATGATGGATCTTGTAGTGGTTATGCTAAGTGAACTAAGCCACATAAAGACAGACAGCTAGATGGTTTCATTCACTCCTGGAAATTACAGAACCAAACAAACTGACAAAGAGTAAAAAAAAATTTTAGACTCTCAGAATTATACTGATGCAATAGGGTGGGTGGGTAAGAAAGGAGGAGATGGGGGAAGACAGGGGATAGGATAAAGGCAATGGCAAAAGATAAGTGAAGCATGTGCACATAGGGAGACATGAAGTTGTACTCCCCAAATCATAAAATTACGTGAATGAATGATACATAAAAGTAGTATAATTAACAGAACCTCGAAGAACAACAAGATTTAAGGAAAAGAGCAATCAATTAAGAAGCCTGCCATGAATTAGATGGGTGACGAATCTAACGGATCTTGTTCACCAACGGGTCACTAATGCCTCGCCTAGTGCCTCACAAAAACTATATGATTAATAAATATTTGTCGTCTGATAAAATGATTACGAGAGAGTACTTGTCATAGAAACAGAACCCCAAAAGTGTAACGTCATGGAAGAGAATGAAGTTTTGACGGTGTAGTCAAGATGGTCAAAAGCTACGGTGATCAAAATGACTGATTTAATAATCAGGGGGAAAATATCGGGGGTGCTAGCAAGAGAAAAGCTATCCTCTGAATCGAGTCTGGAAGGATAACCATTTTCAGGACAAGAGGAGACAGTGCTCTTCAACATCATGTGGAGAGACATCATAGTATCTCCACAAACCGGTTAATTTACGAGGAGGCGGGCGGGCGATAACGCGGCAGTCCGGGAGCCCCATCCTTCCGAGCGCACCCTCCTCCGACCGTACCCCGCCGGTCCCGGGCAGCGCACGCCAGCCCTCGACGTTCCCGGAACTACGAGTCCCAGCAGGCCACACGCTCCACAATCATGGACCGGGAAGACAAACCGGGCGTAAGGCCTTTCGGGACCAGTAGTTCACGGCGCGGACTCAAGCCACGCTCACGTTGCTTCCCACCGACTCCTCACCTGAGCTCTTCGGCCGAGTACATCCCGAAGGAAATGCCTTGCAGCCGCCTCCAGGGCATGTTCTTTGAGCCCAACATCTTGAAGGTCCGTTTTGACTTCTGACAGCCAGAGAAAAATTCTGACGGCCACAGGTGAACGCTTAACTCAGACCGCGGACAGCCGCCACCATGTGACACACAGTGCGCCTGCGCGCGAGGGCCGCTTCCGGAAGGCGATTTACGCGGACGAGCTCACTTTCGCTCTAGGGGGGACGGGCGAGAGTCTCACGACTCGAACTCGCCCTTTCGTTCGGACGACAATAGTATATTTTCAAAGCACTGATAGAAATTGTTTCATAAGAGTTCTTCTGGCAAATTCGGCGTGCTGGACCTTGAGTTTTCGTAGTAGAGTCGTTCTCAGCAGGCATTAGTCACCTCTTTTGGGATTGCTTTTGTTTTATTCCGCCGCAGCCAATAGCCGAGCTCTCCCCGCCCCCTTTTCCGTTCTCCCCGCCCCCGTGACCCCCCGGGTCACCGGCGTGCTCGCCCGACGTGCTGTGCGAAGGAGCCAGAGATGGCGGCGGTGGGGTCTGTGCGCTGGCTGAGGGTCCGCTGCAGACTTTGCCTGCCTCGGACAGGTCGGCGGGCAGGTTTGTGTAGGTGGTCCCCTTGTTACAGGTAGGAGAATGCTTGGGGATCTACTAAGAGGACTCGGAGGTCAATTTAATCGGTCGTATCCTCTTCCCGAGGAATGGAGCCCGGCTGGGTGGCGTGGAATACGCATGCGCGCTGTTTTGACCGCATGCTCTAGGGACCCGGGGCTCGGAGCCCGTCTTTGAAACGGGATTCAGAACCCATCTTTATGAGGAGTTTTATTGGTTGTCTGGCCTACATAGCAATTAGGAGTGTAGTTGAAAGCACAATTGGAGAACGAGAGTCATTTGTTCTTACTCTTATTTAACCGGCTGGGAAGAATGGGGAGAATTCATAAATTTTTCCCAGGGCCTCCCTGGTGAGGCAGGGGTTAGTCTCAGTGCTATCAAGCTGTCACCACCAGCCACTGCGGCATGAGTTGGATCCCTGACCAGGTAGGTGACCCACGTGGCATGGCAGACCCCTCGTCTCGCCTGCTGCTCCCCTCACCAGTATATTTCAGTAGATCTGTCTGTTCTGCTCCCCACCCTGTCTCTGGTGAATCCTCTCACCCCATACCCCAAAGAAATCACACAGCAAAGTGGTAAAGATCAGAAAAAGCCCTATGGATTGCTGTGGTTTTTACAGCGTGGAACGTGTAAAATTCTTAGTCAGTACAAATGGCAGAGTTGCAAAAACATAAAGGCAGTAATTTGTAGTCATAAATGAAGAAAAATCTAATTTTGTATGTAACCATTTTTTTAGTTGGATGATAGATTTCCTCTTCTTTGAAATAACTATCAAACCATTGTGAAAAATGTGCTATGTTTTGTTTATACCTTTTTATGTGCTATCTTCTCTCAATACTACTCAGAAAAGGAAATCCTCCCCTGATACTGCAGAGCATAAATACTGACAATCCCAGTCCTTTTCTCAGTAGTACCCAGTGTTGACCTTGTCTTAACAGTGATAGACTTTAGCATTCACCCACAAGACAACTGTATTCTAATGTCATGAGACTCACATAAAGTGACTTCAAAGAGTTCGTCCCTTTTTTGAATGCACCAGATAAATAGATGTTTTAAAATGATTCCTGAGACCAGATACAAGTAGAGAGAATGTTTTTCTGTTTGGATCACATTTTGACAATTTTCTGATGGTACCGAGACTGTTTAAGAAGGAAATACATTACAAGGTACTAGACACATTATTTGTGTGGTATGTTTACTGTATTTTTTAGTTTTATCAGAACTTTTTAAAACAGTCATATGCCAATGATTTTATATTGTAGATAAATTTAAACGATTCCAAGCTTAAATTTGTACTATACATTTGCTATATTTCTAGTTGATGAAGGATATGATATAAATCACCATGGTGATCTTAACTTAGTAATTCTCAAGGTTATTCTAAGTGGGATAGTCTTATTAGCAATAGGATGTTATCCATATAAAATCAGGTGCTCATTAAATTTTTTCTCTTAATCTCAAAGTGTTTTATATTTGTAAAGTTAAGCGCTTTTATGTTTCAAATAAGCTGCTTAGATTTTCCAAGTGTTATTGAAGATTTCCCCTGATTTTATGTAAGGAGGTAGCCTGATTAAAAAAAAAAGTGGACTGGCCCTCCCTGGTGGCGCAGCGGGTTAAAGCACATCACTAAGAAGCTAAAGCCACTTCCGCATGAGTTCGATTCCCGCCTGACCCGCCCGCTGCTCCCCTCAGCAGTGTACTTCGTCTATCTGCCTGTTCTGCTCCCCACTCTGTCTCTGGTGAATCCTCTCACCCTCCGCATCTCTGGCCTGTACCCCAGTTCCATATGAATAAATAAATAAATCTTAAAAAAAAAAAGTGGACTATACTTTGTTCCTGTCATCATTGTAACCATTTTGTAATGGTATTGAACATGCTAGTGAGGCCATGTCTTCTCAGTATATTGACATGAGTGGTCTAGTCAGTTTGATTTATGGTAATTTCTAAATTTGGGCTCAAAATGCACATAGTGGGAGGTAACAGGAAGTTCACTAATGAATATTAGCTGTAAGATGTTTTTAAATTTTTGTTAATGTTGCAGATTTTATTCTGGAGGGGTAGCTGTCCCAAAGGTTGAAGGAACTGATGTACCAGGTATTTTAAAATTAATTTAAATAATCTATTTTTTATGTCAACACATTGTACTTTTAATAGAATCATCAGAAACTGATTCACTTTTTTTTTTTCCCCCATTTAAGGCATTGAAGAGGTGGTCATTCCAAAAAAGAAAACTTGGTAAGTATTCAGCCAGTGTTCATTCATCAAATGGTTATTATAAGCGAAACATTGATAGGTGAGGAGCAATAAGAGAACATACTTAAGGAAGAGTAGCTGAGGCGAGAAAAGCTTGAGAATTTACAAGAGCGTAAAAAGAGGAAGATGGAGTGTAGTGAATGAATGGGGAAGGAAATTTAAAACTTCTGAACTAAGCTATTTATGGCAAAAAAGACTTATATGAAAATCTTCAAAAGAAGTGGGTGTTTTGTTTAGATTGGTCTCTCAACCATGTAGAACATAAAGTAAATGGTGTAGATTATACAATTCAGCCTTTTTAATTTACTGGGTATATAGCTAAATTAACTGCCTTATTTAGTTTCTACTAAGAACTAAAACCTTCACAAAAGTTTTGTAGTAGTGAAATTGGATGTATTTAAAAGCTCCCCCAAAAGCCGAGTCATTCCTGAGTGTAATCTAAAGGTTCAGGTTCATTTAAAAAAACTAAAAAACAAAACAAAACAAAAAAAACAGGCTAAATCACAAAGGTAATGTATGGTTATTGCCAAAGATTAGGGGGTGGAAGGAGGTTTGAAATATTTTAGCATGTAAAAAGTGAAGAAAGGCCCTCCCTGGTGGCGCAGCGGGTTAAAGCACTGCACTGAGAAGCTTAAGCCACTTCTGCATGAGTTCGATTCCCGCCTGCCCCCGGAGG